TTGTTTATTTTTGCCTATTTTAATTCCAAGTTTATGTGTCTGTGAGTGTTTTTGGTGATTCAATTTTCACAAATATTAAAGTAAATATCAGTCATGATTTTAAATTCAGGAGCCATATAGTGATGAGTAAAACATTTATTTCTGTTGTAAACCAATGCAAGTGATGACATTGTTCGTTTTTATTCTTTTTAAACAAATAAATATGAGGCCATACTTTTTTGACTCTTGAACCTCTAACACAATATTCCTCACAAGCTTTTAAAGTGCTGAGGTGCGTCATGACACATGTGTTAAATATGGTTGGTTTATTAGATTATAGATAAGATTTGTTGATAACTTAACAAAAACCCCTTTCCCTCATACTGTCACTCAGCTCAGTGAGTCCTGCCTGGACACCTTCTCCGCTCTTCTTTGACTCAAATGTATCTGCTGCCATCTTGTGGTTCAATTTTGGAAGCATGACATTATTCCCAAATGTTGCACAACACATTTTCTACTCTCAAACTAACCTTAGATCAAATTCTTGAATTATTAGTTCCTAAATAACTCAAATATATAGGACACTGCATCTTTTCACTACTTCTGACACATGTGGCATTATGAAAAAGGGGGGAAAACAATTGAACAAGATCAATTTAAAACAAACAACTTCTGCCAGAGGGAGTTGGCAGGCTATCTGGTCCCTCAGAGGGTCTCTCATTAGTTCATATACTTTCTTTTAACATGCTGATAAACAGCTGTGCCGAGTTTTAGGCCACTTGGGAAAATATGATTAAAGCAGGTTTAATTTTGTTGTGCATGTTTTTACAGATTTGTGCCAAGATGTGCTTTTACTTTGGAGTCATGTCAAATAAACAAATTGAAAATCTCCCAAACCGACTCAATTTCCTTCTTGTTTTTTAAAAAAAACTGAGAAAATTACTGCAGTTTTTTGCGTCATTGTGTCATTGTTTCTTTCTGTTCACCCTCCCTAAATGCAATATAATCTGTAAACTAATGACTATTTCTCATAACATAGACAGATGTTAATCAGAGGTGTAGGTCTGCAGCAAAAGATGCCCTGGGGAGCAAGAAAGTGATTGTTTGCAGGTGTTGAACACTGAATAATCTCCCTCCTGTTTCCTCCTCAAAAGGTAACTTGGTATCAGTAGACAAAGCTGACATATATAACAGATGTCTCTGGTAATTTTGGCAGGTGAAGGTCAGGGAAGGGCAGCACACCGTCATTGTCTATGTGGGTCTGAACCGTATAGGCTTTGACCACTGCTCCCCACTCCAACACGGAACTGTGGATTATTCCCAGTCTGGCCTGTTCATGATACGCTGCTCCCAGCTCCCTGCCCAGGAATAGGTCTTGGATCTGGGGTGAGGACAAAGCCAAGGTTTCTCTCTTCATGTCTGCAATCAGGTCTAGGTTTGTGTCTCTATCCCTGTTGTATCTATTGGTCTCAAGGTAGGCACCTGGGTCAGTGTCTGTGTTCTTGGCTTTGTTTGCATCTGGACAGTGATGAACCGGCCTCTGCGGCAGGTTCACCACTGTCAGCCTCTCCAGGTGCTGCACAGCAAAATGTCCCTCCAGGGAAGAAGAAGGTGTCTCTTTGGATCCTCCAGGGCCACAGTGGATCAGAGTGAGGTGCCTCACCTCTGAGTTGTTGAGCAGACGTGCTGTGTTTAATGCCGACGTGAACCAAACAGTTAAACGTCTCATCCGGAAAACAGGAGAGGAGTGCGACTGCGGGCGGTGCAGCGTGGAAAGCAGGATGTCCTTGCATTTGCAGTCTGCAAGTGATGAGACGCTGCAGGGCTGTGGGTCCTGGCTGCAGGAGTAGTAGAAAAAGCTGTTGTGGGTCACATAAGCCAGGCGCAGGTCAGAGCGCTGCAGAGCCACAGACACACACAGCAGCACACAGAGGAGAGGGGCAGGAGGGCTGAAAGCAGACATCACTGCTGGAGGAGAGTCTCAGGTAGCATATTTTTGATGTTCATGTATATGTGTGTGTGTGGTGTCCAGGTATACACCTGAGCCTATAGAAAAGATAAAACACACATTTAATATCAGTAAAAAGTCAAGAGAAAACCACACACACACACACACACACACACACACACACACAGAGCAAAACACACACTACCTCTATGATCTAATCCCTAAAGTCAGGGCTACCAACTAACTGTAATAAAAGTAAAAGAGCAAAATTAGTGCAGCAAAACAAACCTAAAGTTATCAATATGCAGAATTGCCCCTTTCAGGTTGTTATGTTATTACATACATTTTAATAAAAGATTGTAGACTGTTGTCAGTGTTTTTAACAAATATATTTTACAGAATAATGGTTAATCTGACAAGGATATGGCATACGATTTGCATGAAATTTTATATATTCTGAAAATAAACAATAAAGGAAGCGTATGGAGAATAAAATACAGTCTAATACAGAGCCTTGTGGCACTCCACGAGAGATAGATGCAGAGGAAGAGGACACATTGTGAGTTCTGACAGAGGCTGATTGGTCTTGGAGGTAGGAGGCAAACCACTGAAGGGCCTGTCCCTGAATGCCAACAACAGGCTTAAAGCGGCCCGGGAGGATGGAGCTCCAGAGTCTGAAGATGAGAGCAAATCATTTGTTGCCCCTCAAGCGAGTGGACTGGAGTGCTATGGTGCGCCCTAAAACTAACTCTATCCAGTATACTGAATTTGTCAAGGAAGGAATGGAGAGAATTTTGGATAAAGGAGGAAGGGAGTAATAAAGGAAGGAAGGAAATAAGGGAGTATTTGAAGCAAGAGGGGACTTAAAACAGTAATCTGTTGAAGATCTGTGAGAAGATGGGGGCCAGCTGGTCAGTACAGGTTTTCAGACAGGAGGGTGACATGACCTTCCTGATGTTATGACTCTGACCGAGCCAATACACTGTTTCTGTGTAGAGGTGGGGGGATGGGGGGTGCAGTTGGTTGCGTCAGTCGGAGCAGGTGAGTGTTACCAGAGGTGGCTGAATGCACTGTACGCTTCTGTCGGACACACAAATCAGAGATTGAGTTGTGAGATGGGTGCAGTAATTTCACTTTACAGGGGCCAACAGTGAAATAATGCTGTTATATTTATTGCAACAGTCTGAAGGTTTAAAAGGCGGTAAAGCAAGGTACACACATGAGAGAGGCATCCAGCAAGGATGTGTGTGTGTGTGTGTGTGTGTGTGTGTGTGTGTGTGTGTGTGTGTGTGTGTGTGTGTGTGTGACAATGAGATCACATCCTATTGCCGCCTCACCTAAGCTGACTGTCTCAAAATTTTCCTCTTTGTGTCTCTTGCTTTTATTCCTCTTTCTACCTCTCTGCCAATATATATTGCCATATTTCACATGTGCACAAATTCACTGAACTAAATGTAAAGCTAATCTTTTTTCATTTTTTCTGATTTACACCAATAAAATGACATTATTTTCTAAAGAGATAGACTGACGTTTTCATGGTTAGTGCGTTTCAAAGAACCTCTGACCCGTTTGCCTGTTTGGTTGGGTTTGTCAGCCCTAGTTTTCAGCTTGTGTCCTACATAACCTATTTTAGCAGTCCCACTTAAGCGATATGTAGCCCCCACATGGGAAGGATTATACAGGAAATTAAGAAAGAGAACAGGCAACAGAAGCAGAGAGCAACAAATGAAATGAGGAAATAGAAATAACTTTGACACACATTCATTCTCACATAATTTTATAGTTTTTTTTTATACCAGCCACAACTGCAAATACAAACATTCACTTCATATGAGGCTGGGTTGAGGAATCCAAAAAGGAAAATATGTTCGTGTGGGTTTTGGAAATGACTCTGTTTTTTGCAGTTGTTTTGAATCCTGACAGACTGAGGTATTGTTTTCAGTGGATTTTTCTTGGCAGTTTTGTAGAGATTTGACAGTTGTCCATGGCAAGATTATAAAAGGGCTTGTTTTATACCAGCCAAAACCTCACACTCACATGATACCAGTAGTACAGACGGACACAATTTGTCATCATTAGTTCAGACTGCCTGTTGTGATGTGAAGCTCTGTGATGCCTGCCTGAATTTTAACTTGTTAATCAGGATCTCTGTGTGCCGTATAAATGTTTTTATTTTCTTGACCGTGAGATGTGGGTCTCTGTGCCGATGTTTGACCCTCTGAAAACTAGCTGATGCAATATCATCAGCGTGAGATGTTCAGTGCCAGCGGTGCACTAATTACTGCTCAGGAACTGTAATGAAGTATAGTTTTGATATATTTTGAGCATTTCCATTTTATGCTACTTTATTTATAAATACTAATATTGTATGGATTACTCCACTGCATACTGACCCCTATTATGGGGCGGCTGTGGCTCAGAGGCAGAGCGGGTTGTTTCCTACTCAGAAAGTTGAGGGTTCGATCCCCGGCTCCTGGTGCCACATGACAAAATATCCTTGAGCAAGATACTGAACTGAATGCCGTGCATCAGTGTGTGTTAGTTTCTGTTCGATGGACTTTGCCATCGCTGTGTGAATGTGTGTGAAAGGGTGAATGTGGCACGTAGTGTAAAAGCGCTTTGAGTGGTCGGAAGTCTAGAAAGGCGCTATACAAGTACAGGTCCATTTACCATTATATAGGTAGTTATTTTGCAGAATCTGATCTTAGTACAACCAAAAGATTATGAATTAGTAAAAAGATTTAAATGCTGCTGCTTACATATCTGTATATCTGTGTTTAATGCAATTTTTCTTGTAACAGAGTATTTTATTTGTGGTATTTAGCATTGCACTATAACACTGTCACAATTTAAAAGAAAGCCTACATTACCCACAATGCAACCCAGACCCTCTTCTTTCTAATTCCACACCAGTACTTTGTACAACTTCTTTCACAGTAGTACTTCCCAACACTTATACTATACTTATACTACATTTATTTTTATTAAATTTTTTTATTTTTATGATGTTTTACATTTTATTGTTTTTATTGTATTCATTTTTTGCCTTGCACAATTTTTTATATGTAAACTCGGCAGAATTCCTGTTTAAGAAGACGATCTGAATAATTTTTCCACTGCTGTTCATTGCAAGCCTCACCGTGTCTGAGCTACTTTTACTCCAGTTGATGATTTACAACAAGAACGTTTGACTAACTCAAGGGAGTGGGCGGGTGTAAACTTGCTCCATGTTACTATGGGATGTTTGCACATCTGTACATACAGTAATACAATTATATGATATTGCATAATATAAAATTCAGTGTGACTGAGTGAAATATTAGTGGTGGAGTGTAATTCAAATTGAATTTTTCTGAAAAACTGAAGTATTAATTCTTAACCTAATAAACTATTTAAAAACCCTCTTAGATTAGCTGGTAAATGCACTGTAAGAAAGCTAAAGGCAGGGCTGTTTTTCTGGACTCAGGAAAAGTGGACTTTTTAGAAATATATACTTGGTTCTCACAGGACAGCGACCCAACAAACATGTAATAATTTTATAGAATATGATGCATTGATTTAGATTAAACTACCCAACAGTGTATAAAGTAGTTTAAATTAGCTCAACATACAGCAGTAAAACACAACATTCACATTAATGCAGCAGTAATATTAATCTGAAAACATCACATATAATAGTAAAACACTGCAGGGACCATTTTTTACAGTTTACTTTTGATACTTTAAGTCAATTTAGCTGTTAACACATACTTTTACATAAGTAAGGTTTTGAATGCAGGACCTTTACTTGTAGTGGAGTATTTTCATGTTGTGGTATTAGTACTTCTACTAAAGTAAGGAATATTTCTTCCACCAGTATTTACAGGAGAATAAAATGCTCAGGTCATGTAAATAAACCCAGCCCTAGTGCAGGTCAACTTTCATAAAGCAGATTCTTGTTATTGGAGTAAAACGCTCTGAGGTCACTCCCCTGTGTGTTTCTCATCCATTAAGTATTTTCTTACAAAGATGTGAGAGAGGGGATGTGGACATACTGACAGCTGGTTTGGATCAGGACTTTGTCTACGCACGCACACACACACACACACACACACACACACACACACACACACACACACACACACACACACACACACACACACACACACACACACACACATACACACACACACACACAGAGTCTGAGATGGGTGTGTTTTTCCTGAACTACACTTAGGGATACATTGTTTGGCACTGGGAGCCCACATTGAATTTCACATACACCAACATACACACACACACACACACACACACACACACACACACACAAATTATAACTGTGGCGATCGCGCTGAGATTCCAGGGAAAACATTGTTTTGAAATCTTGGCTTTTACAAAAGCCTGGGTAGATTCTTGGCAGTAATATCAGACCAGGAACATGACTTTCTGCCTCAGTCTGCAGCCAGGACAGAGCTGACCACTACATTCTTCCTTTGGCCTTGTGTGACATTAAACAAAAGTTAACCATCATCTACAGTATATTTAACATTTATTTTGCCGCACAGTTGGAAAAATCCTCATATTCCACATTGTCTGACAGTGTCAAATGTATTTTGTTTTTTTTTTAGTTATTCTGTTTACACTGAGTGAAATAGTCAAGACGCCATTTTTTTTAGAAATGGAATCATTATAGAGAGTTTGTGCATCATTTCTAGACAAAATGGCATATTTGAAAAATATGGAAGTTCCACTAGAATTTAAAACAGTGTTTTGTGGGTTTGCACATTGTTCAGCAGAGTTTGTACCTACTGACACACCAGCAGGTCAGTAAAGTTTAATGGTGTTTTTCTGGTACTTTACTGTGTTTTGATGCTAGCTTATAAAATATCTCACAGCATCAAATACTGTATAAGGAAATGTTAGATGAACCATTTTTAATGATGAAAAATAAGCTATTAAACTCATAAGATGACAGCAGTGTTATATAAATTAGGTGATCAGCTTTGCTTAAAGGATACGTTGCATTTTTTAAATTGCTAAAAAATCCCATAAAAAAGACCAAAACATCAACAACTTGATCTTACTAACAAGTGCCAAAGCTTATTTCTCTGTTTCTCATAGACCTCCATTGGAGTCACACCATGATGTGTTTCTAAAATATGACTAACACAGACACTACATTTTATTTTGAGACAATGCCGCAAACACCATCCTGCTGCCTTAAATACTCACCACTCCACCAAAGCCACAGATGTGTAGCCCCCACCAAATAGCCCCCAACGAATGCACTGTAGCTGTTTGAGTAATGTTTATTGAAATCAACAGTGCTCAGCTGTTTTAAGAAATTATTAAGCCTAAGTTGTAACAAAGGCTTTGTTGAGTTGTTGACAACAACTAAAATACAGAATCTCATCTTAACCTCCTTCAAATATTTTCCCAATAACTACAGGGAAGTGGGTTGTGCTGCATGTCTGAGAAGCTTCTGTAGATTTTTTTGGCAAATCTAAAATATTTATGGCCTTGGCTCTGAGTCGCCATTAGAGTCAAACTGCTGTGAATACAAACTGACTACATCTACCATCCTCTGCAGGAGCAAGTCACAAACTAAATATGGTTTAGACTTTAGTTTTAGACTCACTTTCTAACTGCTCCCCTTTTCTTATAACCTGGGAAGCAGGATTGTGTTGGAGACTACGTACAATAATGTGACACAATTCAATTAAGGTAGAGGTCCACATAAAAGTTGATGTTTAATGAATTACCAGGAGAATACAGTACTAGCTGAGACAAAATTCAGTGGACCAAAAACAAGCTCAAGTTACACAGTCCGCTAGCAAGTGTAGTAATAATGACTGGAGAAAAGGAGGACTGCATCCAGGCCCGACATCAGGGGAGGTCAAAGGGTACAGATGACCCCAGCCCAATGGCCCAGGGGGGGCCCATGCAAACGTGTATGATGTATCCCTTAAATAGGATCAAGAACAACAATTTACTTTCTGACCTATATCACTGATAACACAATTTATATGTATTTACATTATAAAAACATTTAACAGTATCGTTAGTCAAGTCAAAACGCCTCACCAAAAATCAGGGGCTCAAAAAAGAAGAGCCAGGCTACAGAGAGAGAAAGAAAATGAAAGGAGCAGAGTGGCAATGGCCAAAAAAGCAAATAAGCACCAGGTGTGAGAGGCGAACCTGAATGTTACAAAGGTTAGGAGCAAGGCAGACAAATAAAACTTTAGCTAGCTTAACTTCACATCAGCACGTTCACTTAACTAGATTTAAAAAAACACTGCTGCACTGCCCTGTTATTATATTGCAACCTGCTGGAGGCTAATAGCCGAGAGCCTACTTGTAATTGCCAGTGTTGGTATTAGGGCTAAGGCTGGGTGTGGATGGGGTTTGTCCCTCTGTCCATAATTACTGAACGCAGGCCTGACCGCAACGTGATTCAATGTTGTTTTGTTTTAAGCATGACCCCGATCATTCCCCAACCTCAACCACGTGTTTATCATTGTAACCATGACGACAAAGGACCTAGGACCATAACAAGGTAATCATTTTGACCCCAGAATGACCTTACTAAAAAAGAAAAAACTAACAAAGTTATTTTTGGAAGGCACAGACAAAACATATTTGATATGAGAGTCAGATAAGAAAACACCTCTATGTGTCCTTTGAGAGAACGCGGAGAAACCACAATATAATAATAGTTTTGGGGAAATACACTCTTTTACTTTCTTGCTGAGAAGAGAAATCAATCTCAGGGTTGTACATTTAAATAAGCACGAGGTAATTAACCTAGCTTAGCACAAAGACTGGAAGCAAAAGGAAACAGCTAGCCAAAATCACCCTTCCAGCACCTTTAAAGCTCACTAATAATGACAAAATAACAAATGGTGGTTTTGCTAGGAAACCAGCAGAGAATGAATTAGTACTTAGTGATACCAGCCAGTGTACTTTGTTTCCCTGTTTACTGTCTTTATTACTAAGCTGAGCTAACAGGCTGCCGATCTTGGGCTGAGACTCGTTCGTTCCTCCTAAACTCCCCGACGGTAGATGGCGCTGATGAATAAGGCTTTATTGTGATACAGGCAGTCATTTAGGCACAACAATAGTTTTCTGGTTGAATGTTCAGCTCAAGTCTAGAAGGCCCTACAAGTCATGATGCCGAACATGACTCAGAATAAGTTCAGGTATTGCACATCTTTAGCAGACCACCCAAAAATCCAGTAGAATGCAGGAAATCACATCTACTTAATCCAAAATTTCCTGGGGGTGGACCTTCAGCTATGTCTGCTTCTCAGAATGTAACCAATATTGTCCATCTCCAGTAGGCTGCCCCTATCAGCGGCTTTGGGTCTCCCCACAAACCACCAGAATGCAGGGTACAACATCAAATGAATTCCAATTCTCTGATATCTGAGCCACCAACTTGTGTGGCTGCGTGCGCGGCATAATTTTGGTCACCCCCGACAAAATCTCACTCCAAGGTTTTTTGAAAAGTTGGCAGGTATGGTCATAATTAAAGGTGGGTTAAGAAATCCAATAGCATGATAAATATCCTGATATATTACCAACAGCGACACATAAAGTAATGTACCTAACGTTAGAAAAACATGTATGTTTGGTTAATTCTCCAGCCCTCGACCCAGGCCCGGGCTCAGTTAGTCCCCGGGCGCTATACAGTGGAGAGGACCTATTTCACTAAGTTGTACAATGTATGATTGTATATGTGAAAATAAAGTTGATTCTTTTCATACTGTGGGTAAGCAAACTGTTGCTAAAGTTGCTCACATGCAGAGAAGATGAGACGGTTTCCCAGAGCGAGTACACCAGCACCTGACATCAATACTCACAACTCTCCTGCTACCATACATAGCTAACCTCACAACAACAGCATATCTAATATAACGCTACCTGACACAAATCCTGGCTGGAATAACAAGTTAGTGTTGCACACACTGAGGGGAGAGCTAAGAGACCATGAGGACAAACAAATATGTATTGGATTAGAATCACTTACACAAAGAGAGGTATTGATCTTCTCATCATCTCGACACGAAAGTGAATAAGCCCCAAATGATGAGCTGTTCCTTTAAAAACAACTGTTTTTGAAAGAATTAAAAAGAAATATATGTGTTTGTTGACTCTTTCCCATTGCTTCTAGTGTCTGAAAGGGGAAACAGACTTTATCTTAAACAACAATGGCACTACAAATGATAGATGTATGTGTAGGAATGTCATATAATGCTGAGATAGGTCAGGAAGCTGTTAACCAGCATTCAAAAACAGCTTGGTGGAAATGAAGATGGACAAGAAAGGCTGAGTGTCAGGATTGAGAATATGACTGTTTGCTGTTCATTGTCCTCTCCACACCTCCTTATGTGAAGAGTATCACAGTCCAACTGGAAGGGAAAATATACTTCTTCCTGTGTCCTGGCTGAAATGACTTTCCAGCCACTACAATAAAAATGAATGAGTCTGACCATATATCTGGCTTAGCTGTAAATCACTGACTTGGACCTGAGGTGACTCAAACCTCAAGTATTAGGCTGCTGACTCATTTTAGTTGGTCAGGGGGTGAAGTTTCCTCTGTTAAAACTCACAGAAATGAATACGTTCACCGCTTACTGTCTCATGTATTCACAGGAGAAATTCAGCAGGATGACAAGTGACATCTGACAATGAAATAAAGGATCCAGCATCGTATGCAGCTGAAGCATTAATCTGTGACACTTTTGTTTTTGCAGTTTTCCATCAGAACAAAATAGCGAGAATGTTTCTATTACATAACACAGGCACAGGAATGCACAAGCTATGTAATGTAATATGAGAATATACAGCAGGCTTGGCTTTGTGTTCCTTTTTAAAGACTACAGGAGTTAACTGCAGGAGACAAACAACCATTTTTTAACAGCTGTTAAAGTACACTACATGGTCATCAATGCCAGTACACAGATAGTAGGCTAAGCTTCCCGGTTTTCTGCTGTGTAACTCACCTCAAGTTGCTGCTGTAGAGTTGATATGTGAATGCTCGGGTTGAGGCTGGGATGGGGAGGAAAAATCACACATCCAGCTGACGTCAGGATGGGGGAAGTATCCCACAGAGTTCAGCTTTAAACAGTGTATGCCAACATGTTTGTTCTGATCAGAACAGAACCAGAGAGGAGCCCACAGATAGTCAGTCACACAGCAGTATATAAGATGGTAGAATACAGATTAGAGGTCACAGTTCATATTTTGTTTTTGTTTTTAAAATGTTGTTTATTTAATAGAAATCCCACACAGGTCTGTTCACGCTCAACGCACAGTCAACGCTATATATTGGGATTTTTAAATTGTATTTTAAAACATTATAGGGTGTATTTATTTATGTAGTTTTTCAGTGGAGTTAACACATTAGTTTATCAGGTTACCGCCCTCAATCATTTCCTTCAAGGATAGAGATAGTTTTCTAAAGAAAAAAAAATTTCCCGATATCCTGACACCCACTCGAAACGACGTTTGCTGCATTCACGTGCTGTCGGACAAATCACCATTTAAGCTTGAGCTTGAATGAAAGTTCCTTAAAGAAAATTACTTGAAAACTACAAAAGTTGTTTGACTTTATTAGAGAAACCATATCAACCAAAAACAATGCCATGCATGCTACTTGTTGTTGTTATGGCGTTTTTGTTTTTCTTTGCAGTCTTTGCCAAACATCACACTGACTTTTTTTTTATCAAGTCAAGGGAGGGTTACAAGGAACAACAACGAACGAATCGGAAAAACATAAATTAGACGCGATTGATCAAATAAATTATTGTTATATTATTTAGGGGATTATTTTCTCTTTTATGGTCCTGTTAAATCAGCTTTCAGCCACGTGTGCCACACAACAACAACCGCTGGTTTATCAGATAATTTTGACAGCGTGAATTTACGAGTTTTGGGAAAGGCAGCACCGGGGGGGAGTTCTCTGCAGTATCCAACGGCTCTCCGTCAGAGACTCAACGGTCTGTGGGAGACTTAGCGTCGCTTCCCTTCCGCCTCACACATCAGTTACATGTTTTATTCGTTCTTGTCTCCGTTTTAAAGGGAAACCTTGGACGTGAAAAACAACCAGCACTCGGTTGCTCATTGAGATGTTTTCGGTAAAATACCACCCAGTTTTCCTCCTTCTTTTGTGCCTACGAGCTGTTGCGGCCCACGGTAAGAAAGCTAACTTAGTTGTCGTTATATTCACTCGCTACCTTTTTTTAGTCTTCGCTAAAGTCTAATAAGACTAATATTGACCGAATATACAAGGGTTTGACACTTGACCTCCCTAATTGAAGCTGGGTGTCCGGTTATATGAGGTGAGGACAGATGGACAACGGGTAAATCCCAGCTAGCTTACAGCGCTGTGCCTGCTATCAGGGAGGTGTTTCCACCGCTGTACAAACACACACACAGAGCCCTTACTCTGTAAATAGGGTATTTTAATGGTTAAAGTAATATTATGTGTCATTTCAAACCTTTTTCTAGTTCTCATGATGTGACACGACAGGCAGAAATACTAGTGTTGTAAGCAGTTTCCGGCTAACGCTGTCCATAATCACTGTACAGTCAGTGTCTGAGCATGTTAATTAACAACAATGGTTTATTTTGGTAGGTAACAGTACCTGGGGTACTTTTTAAAACATTGTCTACCTTGTGAACAATTGACCTCATATAACTCAAACATAATTATGTGTATTTAATCAGATTCAGCTCATATAGCTGATCACTTGCAACAAACCTACTGTAAAGTACATTTTCTTTCTGTTTTGAGGGTTTTCTTTATTTCCTCTTTGTACTTCTCACTATTACCCAACAGGCTTTTGTTTGAGTGATGCATTTCTGCAGAGTTTTTGTTTTGTGTATAAGACTAATAATAGAGGAATCATGCCTTTTTAGAAGTGAAACATGCTTGCAGTCAACTAGATACCAGCTGGAATATGTTGTGCACTTCTGCACGTGAACAGGTCATTTTCTTTTAAAGAGGGCTGAAAATGGGAAGCAGTTCTTAATCTTTGCTGTTTTGTTTAATTTGTACATATTGGATGCACAGAAAAGAGCACAGAAAGACAGATTAAAACTCTTTTTACGATCTGGCTGTGGATAACACATTGCACCACAACCGGGCGAATGTCCAGCCATTGAGTAAAGTAGTGTTTCATATTACGTCAGCTCTGTTCTCTTAGATATGATGTTAGGCCCAGACTAGTGTACTGGTGTCTGCAATGTGATATTTGCTGATGGAATAACTGGACATCTTATGGAGGATAATGGTCGATAATTGTCTGTCTGTGGGTATTGTCTGTCTGCATCCAATCTGATACAGTCCAAAGATAACGGCATTGCCACCAGACAACATTAAGGATATAATGAGACAATTCCAACTACTCAAATGTGGTACAGCATGATCATTTACCAATACTTAACATGTCAGACAAAAGGGTTTAATGGGTTCACCATAGTTGAAATAGCCACTACAGTTTTCTTCTCCATGGCCAGTTTATGGTTTCCTATTTAACAGTGTAGTGGTCGGAGGGGAAATTGAAAAGTTGCTACGCAGAAACCTTTAAATGGCTGTTTTCCCATCTATTGTTGACACATTCTTCATACATCTGGCCCCATATTTATCAAGTCTGGGTTCCCACGTTTCCTGGAAAATCTGGAATGCCTGGAAATTTAGAGACTAGTTTAGATGCAGAATGAAAAAAATGCTCCTTTTTAGGAGCTGTACTTTTTTGGACGGTCACAGCTACATGTAACCTATTATTAAATCAGATTGACATTTGCTGTTGTGGTTGCTGATTGTTAATTATACGTGCAACAAACACTTTCTACTGTCTCTTATTTTAAAAGGCTAAAAGATAAGAAGATTTTATCTGTTATTATGGCCTCTGGATACACTTATGTTACAGTTTGAGGATAAAAAAAATCTCCTGTGGTGAGAACAGAAAGTGAGCTAATGCTAAATAAATGCTGACCACCATTGTGAGAAAGTGCCGTCCTGTCAGATAAAGAAAATTATTTCTGAAAAAGAGGAGGAACCCTGCGAGTGTCTAAAATCACTCAGTACTGGTTAAAAATTGTCAGAGTGACACATTTTGTTCCAACTTTTAGCTTGAGGAGTAAAATAAATCTGGGCTATAAACCTAATTTAGCGCTGCAGAGGTGTCCTAAATGCTCCACATTCTTGAATAGAGTAACGGTATCATGTTGAGAGAACGGAAACTACACACAGTTAGACTGAGAGTTCATCAACATCCTGTTCAGAGACACAGTATTGTGTATTGTGGCAATGGTGTGTGTATATACTGTATCCTTTGTTTGTGTTGGTGAGAGAGGGGTCTTGTGGGCATATCTGTGGACCTCTGGTATTAAGGTGACAAATTGTGGCTTTCACAAGTTCTGTGTATGTTTATACTAGGGATGAGTATTGGCAAGATCCTCACGATACAATACGTATCACGATATTGCGATATAAATAGAGATGAAAACACAAGTACCTGTATATGTACATCAGATGATATTGATCAGAGGAAAAATTGAGTCAAAACTATTTCATTCAAAACAGCCTCTCCATTTTATTAATTTCCATGACATTCACTGAAAACAATATTGAAAATAAAATGCAGTGTTACACACTGCAGTTGAAACCATAAAATTAAGTGCATTCAATTTCTTGTCACTGAAACTACTGTAAATATCTCAAAGTAACCATTAATCTCTTTTCCCTGACCAACAAACTGAAATCATTGTAACCTGCAGTACGACTCACAGTGCAGCTGAAAACATAAAGGATAAAGTACCGTTAATCCGTTTTTGCGGCTGCTTCTGTGCTAATATCTCGGCGTGGTGTCTTGTTAGGTGAACTCGCAAGTTTGTTGTGTTCCCACAATATTTCACGGCAGCAAGACAAAGCTTACAAACGGCATTATCTTTATCCAACTCGTTCTTACTATCTTTTTTAACTTGGAAGCCAAAGTGCTTCCAAATGTCAGCTTTAAACTGTGGAGGCGTTGTTATTTTGATAGCCATTTTGGAAAGACCTCAGCCACTCTCTCTAATACAGAAATACAATGCGCCACACAGCAGAGTTGATCTTCAGCGCCATCTACCGGAGTGGAGGTACGGAAGTCATACTGTATTCACAATACGTCTAAACATGAATCATTATTCTTTAAAAAAATCGATCTTTGGAGTTGAAAAATCAATATTATATTGGGCGGCAAAGTATGGCGATATATTGCCGTATCGATATTTTTACCCACCCCTAGTTTATACAGTAAAGAGTATCGTCAATCTGTCATAAGATATGATTGGTCTTCTGTCTTATGTAGAGTCTTGACGTATTAATCATGAGATACTTGAATGTTGTTTAAATTCCCTTTACAATTTACCCAATTGTGATGAGTCATTGTATACAAGAGCACAACTTGTGGTGTGATTGGGGCTTTCCAAGAAAATGCCGTGCTTTGAGATTGCTTTCATTTATGCCTTCGCCACAGTGCTTGTTGTGGAGACTTATAGCTTGAGATGGAGGATAATGAAATGCACTTTAAAAGAAAGCTGCAGATTTCCTCATTGAGAACTACGTGAGACGCAGCAAATAAACCAACCCAAGTTTACCAGATTCTTTGTCATCATGCATCAACAGTAGCATCAGTTACAGAACGATAGCGCTGGGATCACTTTCAGGGCGATTTGATTAACAATATTGTTGTATACTTATTAAACACCTATTATTATTTTAGGTTGCAAATCACAAATAATAAAGGTCCATTTGAAGGAAGGAGCATACTGCCAAACAGTCTAAGTCCTTAACAATGTCCTCTTTTTGCTTTACCAAAGGAAAATGTCTCTTCAAAAGACAGATTTTATTTTGTTATCTTTGTGAACCCCATTGTCCTCGGTGCGTACTGCCCTTTACTGGCACACTTAATGGTACAGAGTCATTGTTAGAGCCCTGGGGCCTAGTTACTGAAACTTCCTCTGTCTGAAATCCAATCTTATCTCAATTCAGTTTTTGGTATTCCAGAAACATCCTTGCTAACTGCGTTTAGTAAAAAGAAATTTAACTATTGCAGAACTGTCCTAAGTTAGGATAGCAGAGACACTGTCCTAAATTCAAAATAACTCAAAAATGGCAGCAATTTCCTCTCTTCCTTCCTCACCTTCACCGACTATAGGGCCGCTCTCTGCACGGTTAACTGAAATGACGTGCTTCCTGCACATGCTCCTGCAGATGTCCGCTATGATGTTTGCAGCCACGCTCAGTGTGCTGTGAGGACTTCAGCACATATCAACGCATAGCTGATATTGTGTAGTTAGGGTTGCAGGGTATTTATGGCTTAGCAAAAAGTACTTTAAAGATAACATTTATTGACAAAAGAAGATTAAAGGGACATAAGATTGATTTGTGGGAAATGCAACTTTCTTTATTTTTGTGAAAGATCAGTAGATTGCTATTTATTTTAGTCTGAACCATTTTCTTTTTCCTCCTTTAATTGATCATTATTGAGGTAATTTGTCAGGATGTAGTTGTGATTTTGTTTTTCTGTTAAAAACACAAGCTGGTATATTTCTGGTATACATGTCAGTCAGGCCACAAAAATACGGGAGGTACAGAAAGTAACAAAACATAATAACTATCTAAACATTTGGCCTTTTTTCCATCAAAATCAGGAATCAGTAAGAACCAGAATAGGAAGCAGAACCGGAATCGATCAAAGTCAAGAGTTACCCAACTCTGTACATGTGTGCTCTTCATGCTGCAAGGCAAAATGTCTCATGTAAAAAAAGCTCTCACTATTCATGTGGCCGAGACACTGCAGTAACGGGAAACAACGTGTGAGGAAACACCTTTTAGGATGTAAATAATAAAATGCAGTACTGAGTTTGTGAACAGATGCTGAAGTGTGGGATAATGTTAGGGCTGGGTATTGTTACAAACCTCACGATTCGATTTTGATTTAAATGCTTCGATATCGATTCAGTAATAAGTAGAATTACAGCTTCGGGACGGCGATTTCCGTCATGTGTTTGCGTGTTGGTATGGCGTATCGTGGTTCGAGTGTGTATACCATCTTCTTAAAACCCCCGTTTTTTTCACGACACTGTACGGTCGTAGGTCCTTACATATGAAGACGGCCACAGACTCCGTTATCTTCTCTGCGCAGGCAGAGTTTGGCGGCAGTTTGCAAAGGAAGGATCTGTCGAGTTGCGTCTGTTTTGAATCCACAGGTTTAGCCGCGGGTTGCTGCAGAGCATCTGCATGGTGTCAGCTTAAGTGGTTGCGCAAATTTGTTGTGTTATTGCAGTATTTTAGTACTGCCTGGCACAGCTTACACACTACCTTACTTTTGTCTATAACCCGGACCACAGGAGTGCTCCGGGTTTACACTGGAATCCAAAATGACTCCAAACGTCTGCTTTTAAAGTTGAAGGCGCTGGTTTAACACTGCTGCTACCTGCTTCGGTTGCCATGTTGTTGTTGTGTGGTCAAGTGCGGCCTCCATCCGTACAAGGCAAATCACACAAAGGTGTTACTCACCGCGTCCCCACTGGCCAGGGGTTTGAATCGATTCAGAGGATTTAATGAATCGATATTGAACTGGGAAAAAATATATTGCAATGCATTGATGAATAGATATTTTTCCCCACCCCTAGATAATGTACTGTACTTGCATTCTACCCTTTTGTACATTTTATTGCACTTAATTATCGCATTGTTTTGGTACGCTATGCTATAACTTAATGGACTCATTTTGAAAGTGATTTTAGCAGCACTGAGAAAGGTTTCGAGCCATTCTGTGTTAAACACATTATCTCCAGTGACCTCCTTTTTAAGTCTGATAGCATCTGCTTTCTCTTCCTGCTTCTGAAAGAGGGTTTTGCTTTGTCTGCACAAATCTGTCAGCCTTGTCTGTTACTTCTGTTTTCTAGCTTCATAAGATGGCACATGTCAACCACGTAAACTTATAAACATGCCCAGTGTTAAGTTAATAGTTTCTACTTTTCCAAATATGGATTGGATTGAATTGGTTGATTGAAATCAGTTCCCAAACCACAGTTTTAGTTTTAAAAGGGTAAAATTAAGATAAAAAACTGCAAATTCAAATATAATTTATTTTGTGCAAAAGTGGTTTTCTTCAGTATTTGAAAATTCCTGCACAGATTGTATTTAATGGGTAAAACACATTTTAATATTTGCTGTGAGGAAGTTCAGAGTGATATGTTTTCACTTGTCAATATATATCTTTTGCACTTTCAGCTTGTCAAACAGCTAGTGTGTGTGAGTGTGAGTGTGAGTGTGAGTGTGTGAGAGTGTGAGTGTGTGTGTGGGTGTGGGTCTCGAGCTAGCTTGTGGTGAGAGCCCTCAGCGACCAAGTTTGCTGTTGCGGTTATCACTTCTGTTACAGTACATGTTTCTGTCTTTGATTTGTCAATTTGTTTTTGAGCGGCTCTGTGTTTGTGTGGTTGTATGTGTTATCACGTGCCTGCAAGTAAATGGGAAGGAAATGAAACTGAAATTTACTTTTTCTCTAGGCGGCTCATAAATGTCTTTTGAAGGTGTGTTCATCAAAAAAAGCTGAGACTCTGTGAATGTCCAAGGGGACGATACATGCGCTAACATGCTGGCCATTGTCAGTATTACTTTGGTAAACCACAACAAAATTATGATAAAAGGCTACAAATATTATTGAAACGACATGTTGGAATAAGGGAGAGCCTTTTTAGAGAATTTCTTTTTGATGCTTTGTTCAAAACAAAAAAACCTCACAGCAAACAGAGTAATCACTGTGTGTGTGTGTGTGTGTGTGTGTGTGTGTGTGTGTGTGTGTGTGTGTGTGTGTGTGTGTGTGTGTGTGTGTGTGTGGACACGATAACGGCAGTCGTATCTACCATATCCTTCCTAACGGATGAAATGTCAGGCTTGTGTAAACATGCACTGGTTAAAGAACTGGTTTCCCACAGCTTTGATCAGGCCTGCCATTAAGATCATTTAGTTTTCTTGTAATGCTGCAGAAGTTAAATTAAACTGCAAGTCCCAGCACTGAAGTTACCAAGGCAGTAACTGCTCCTCTTTCTGTCTTTGGATTTTAGGAAGTGTGCACTGAGAAGGCTATTGGGAAGGATGTAAGAAGGGATGTTACATAAAGCTTCTGGTAGTGGTTAAAAAAAAAAAAAAAAAACCCAGTGCAGGAGTAAACTCATGCCCTTTTTCTCCCCACAGCCAAGATTGAAGAAATAGATCTGTATGCACATTTGTCTGTACTGAGAGGCAAAATATTTACCGACATTATGCCCGTGGACTCGTGGTGTGTTTAACATTTATATAGGCCACTGTGTCTATGTGACCCACTGAAAGAGGTTCGCCTGGTGTACATTGTGTACCAGTGCCCTCTAGTGGGCTGTTTATGGTAGTGAAATTACCCAGCCCTTTTGACAATTCATTGACAATGAGTATGAAAGTCTGAAGAAGATGTGGCAGTGTGAGGGTTGAGCTGAGAGTCTGTAAATGGCCTAAATGATGGTGAAACGGGATGGGAATGTTTCCTATTTGAAAGGCCTTTTAAATGACATATTTCTAGCCGATATTTTGCTGCCAGTCTCATTCTGGACAAAAGAGTTCTGTAAGGGAACGGGAGATCCACCTGTAGCATAACAATTTGGTGGTCTGATATTATTATTATTATATTTATAAGATTATATTTGTAGACTTTCAGTGTACACTTTGAATGCCTCAGAATATCTATCTGTTTGACATCTGTGTTTCTGTTTCCACAGTGGAGCCGCCAGCCAACGTTACCCTCGTCTGTCACAATCTGCACAACGTTTTGAAGTGGAGTTACGATCAATTCGTGCCAGGGCTTGCGTTCAAGGTTGCAATCAGCTCAACATCAAGGTAAGATATAAATAGTTCTCTTTTTGTACACGTTACCTGTTAAATATCTGTGTTTGCCTGTTTAAAACCATACTACAGAAGGCTTTAAACTATTTATAGAAAAGACATATGATTATGGTTTATAGTTTTAGTCCCTTGTGTGTTCCAAGCCCAAGCTGAGATAACTCATGACTTCATCACGATTTTTTGCTCAAGTTTTTCTTGTCTCATTTGCTTCTCCAGTGCTCCTGACGTGCTTTGGGTGTCCCCACCAAGTCTACAAGCTGATGTCTCCATCTCGGATATAGATTATGACTACTTTCTTACTGTATCTGCTGTGATTGGACAGAATGAGTCTGATCCCGCTCCTCCTGATGGAATCACTTTCAGCTATTTCCATGGTTCACTAGTAGGACAGAAATGTGAGTAGTGGTGTCAGCATTCATTGAGCTTACAATGAGAACATCTGAATTACTCTAATCCATCTCTTGAATATACAAAATAGCTAAAATAATTCATGACAACTGTAGCCTGTTACATTTACAACCAGTGCTCCACTCTAACTCCAAACACTTTTGATTTCCTATGTGATCACATAACCACCAACTTACGCCGGCTTTTGTCGCTGGTTTCCAGGTTCTGTCGACTTCCCACCAGTTACTGTCACTGCCCAACAGGATGGCCCTGTTCATTACCAGTTTAAGCATCCCTGGTTGTTGTACTCTGAGAGGTTGGCTAAAAAGTCAGAACAAAAGAAGAAAAGTGCTGACAAAGAGTTCCTACCGGAATTGCAGTATGACGTTGGGGTCTTCAACCAGGTCAGACTGCACACGGTGTCACACCTCATATAGTTTGTTATGACATTGATCAAACAATTACTGCACTGGAAAACAATAGACGTGTCTCAGTTTCCTCATGGAATTATTACAATAACATTGTTTATAGTAGGTTTAGCAGAATTACTATTAATTAATAGTACAACGGCTTACCATTATTGTTGGGTTGTGTATTTTAAGTTTTATTGGAGTCTCAGTATTTGTTGTGTGTGCAGGAGGAACATAGCCAGAGGTTCTCCTGTGAGGACAGTGTGTGTAAGGGGAATCTCACAGGGGTCTCCACACCGGAACTCTGTCTGAAGTTCTCAGGCGAGATGGCCAAAGTGTCCGTTCAGGCCACAGGAGAGTCCTGCGCCCTGCTGGTTAGTCCCCCACCAAATGACCAAAAAGGTTGAGTAAAATTGTTTTATTTCATTTTTATAAAATTTTGTTTTGTTTGTTTCTGTGAGGTTTTAAGAATTGCGGTTCAGCTCCTGATCTTTGAGTCTAATGATGTGTTCACACAGAAAGCGAATCAAAATTTTCCCTTGCGTATGAGTTTACTCACTACTGTGTAATCTGGTTTACTACAGCTGTATGAGCCCAAAATAAACAGATAAAAGGATGTGGAAATAACAACATCATGATGCAGATTTGTAAAAAGTCTAAATTCATCCTTTGTCATGTCCGTCCACGAGGCAACAAGCAAATAACTTTTAAAATGCTTGTTGTATGGATGGAGTTTAGATCGATAAGAGCTATGTTATGATAACTTAGTTCTGGCTGAAGTCAGCACTCTGCAGAGACTCAAGTTCTTTCTGTTCTCTTTCTGTTCCTCCAGTCTCTTTTCGTTCTTTCTTTTATTTTGGTGTAGCAACAAAGCCCCCTCATTGAAGAAACCACAGTGAATCAGAGCCACTGGTTTCTTTGGTTAGACTGTGTGTTTGTATTCATGGCTGTCAATCGGTGTGTTAATATATCTACATCTGTTTTGTCTAGATTATGTCTACGTCATCATCGGCCTCTTGATCTTGGCTGCATTCGCCTTTGTCGTCTTCATGGTGTACAAAAAAAAGACCAATGCCTCAAGCTCCAATTTCCCAAGCGCTATGGTAAGTTCTTCCTCCCAACTCTGGTTTTATTTGAAAAACTTTTGAGAAATTGAGAATGCTAGAATAATTTACCCCCACTGAAGAACCAGGTTTTTTAATGTAAACACTTATCTAATTGTTTGTCTTTGTGTCTTTTAAAGACTATCACAAATACACTGAAACAGATCATTGTGCAAGAAGTGGAGCATGTCTCACCCACACCTCTTCTGTCAAATGAAACGGTAGAGAAAAAAGAGAAAGAATTTCCACCGTCTCCTATTTCCTCTACTGACTGTGAAGGCTGTCAGCCCTTCGGGGTGCTGACCGAGGCTGATGAGTGTGATGTTGTGGAGGTAGGGACAGAAGAAGGACCTGGCTACATGCCAGGAAGCAACTTGGAAGAAGATGATGCACAATCCGTCGGCGAGCTCCCCTCTGGTTATGAAAAACGTGAGGTGTTAGTGGATTTAGGATTAAATGAACAAGCTGAGGGTTACCGTGGTTGAATGTGGAACTCAACATTGTGGATCACTGAATAATCCCTACAGCAGCTTGTGCAAAGTTCTGGTTACACATTTCAGGAGGTTCGGTTTGTGTTATTTCCTTGCCAGAGCATAAGGGTGCCAAGTAAACATAATGCCAAGAATATAAGCCTTTGTGAAAAAAATTCCATTGCGACCAGAATTACACCACTCAAATGGCCTTACAGTTATAAAATAGTTAAAATAGATCAATGTAGTTACCAAACTCAATCAGTCACCGCAATCTCAACTCTTTCTGCTATTTGTGTTAAGCCCTGCCGCCTATGATTGAATCTGTTGCAATCACAAACATTTCATACAGTGCTAGTATGTGGAAGCAAATCATATTACCTCATATTAATGTGTGATGAACTACATTGCATGGGGGCAAGCTCCACCAGCTGACCTACCAGGGTCACCACATTGTGACTCAGAGGGATTTAACTGTACTTTATCTCGTATGTTACATATTCAAATACTATAGTAGCCAGGATAACATTTAGATACTGTTTAATGAATATCTGTATTTCATACAGTAACAACTATTTACATCTGTTGCATGTTCCCAGCCATTGCTATACTCGCCAGTAAGAGTGCTGGGTGGTCAAAATACTGTGTTCACTGTGGAATAGTATGTCTTATGAATACTGCCAATAAAATAGTGTCCTCTTGCTTATTTGCACTTGAACTGGAAGTTAGAGCATCTTTAACTTCTGTAACGTGAAATGTACTATTTGGGGCGGGTTTAGTTACTAGATTGGTTTGGACGGATTTGATTCCTAGAAAGTCTGCGGTCTGTCTCCTCCTTTGCCTCTCTAACCTGCTGGTAGATCAGGGAGAGAACGAGGGAGAAATGAGTAAATTCTCCACTGGAAATGCTGTTTTTATAGGATGTGTGGGGTTGGCTGTTGCCTTAAATTACATTATTTTAGATAATATAGACACCCCGAAGTTAAAGATGAGTTGTCAAAAACGAAACAACTTAAAATGTATAGTTGTTACCTTGGAGAAAGGTAAACGACTGGCCCGATTTTCATCAAACTTTGTGGAAGAGCTAACCATGGACCAAGTAAGAACCAATTGAATTCTGGAACAGATCGGAATAATGGGCAGATATTTTTCACTTTCCTATGGTAAAATGAATTTGTCGCGCTTGTGTGAAGTCAATGTGAACATACAACGAAACAGCCACCTCAAACATAGAACACAAATGCAGCGGAAAAAATCGATGGTTACACTGCGCTCCTCTGTCCTCTCTGCATGACAGCAACAGACAGGCTGCAGTGAACCAGGTGAAGTGAAAGGTCCCGTTTTACTCAAGTACAAAGATATTTCTGCCACTTGTTTAACTGTTGGTGAATTGTGAAGATTAAACTAACACGAAACTGTCTGTATGTAGTCCGTTTATCTTAGTTTGAAACATATTTCACCAATTATTTGGAAATGGCAGCCAGGCCTCCAAATAAGGCCGTCTGGTACCCGCAGACTGAATCACAACAGCAGCAGAGCGAAGAGGACAGGCGACCTCAGCTGAGGTATGGCACTGCTTCAGTGCCTTTCTGGTTATATATATTGTTTAATGAGCATGTTATTGTTACTATTATTTGTTTTGTATTGTGTTGATAAGTTTAAGTTTTGGTGTATGCATTTACCTCCACCAAGGAGAATATGTTTTTGAAGGGAATAATAGGGCAGGTAACATTGCCAGTTGGGGCAAATTAATGATGTATTGAGCTGAATTCGTTGCACATGCTCAAACCTGTCGTAATTAAAGTGAATGGAGTGCCTTGACTAAACATACAATAAAACATAATAGTCCCCTCAAACGTCTCTGTAGAAACAAAACACCTTGGTGGAGGTCTGCGCTGACATTTTCCACGTATTTGGCAAATAATAAGAGATAATTGGACAATTAATACAGGGATTCAAGATAAGAACTTTAAAATATTTGTTGTATATATTTTATTTTGTTTTAGGGCAGTTTAGGAACCGCAATGAATTAAGTTTCTCATGAAATGAGTGGAAATCTTGCACTTGAAACAGGAGAATGGAGCCTTTATGTGTGTAAAATGGTTCAGTCCACCAATTTCAAATGGCTGTGATTAATAGATCTTTCTGCGTGTAATTAAGTTGAATATAAACACAAGCACTTAACTGCTAGCAATCTGCACATAATCTTTTTATCTATGTTGTTAGGTCTGTGATGTTGTCCACATAATATCTCCTGTGCTGTAATTTTGTTTTAGTGTTTCATTAAAGATTAAGATATGTGTTTTCAGCCTTTTTCTGTTCTTATAAGTGATGTGGTTGAAAAACCAGAAGGGATGTTGTGTTAAATTTAAACAGAAGTTGTGCAACGTCCTCTGACCCAAACATGAGTGTCCCAAATCTTATGCTGTGTTCACCAAATTACTGTATGTGAAACACTATACCTGTTAAAGGAAGGGAAGCTGGTATTTAGGTGTAGTTAAGCAGCCAAATGACAGCTGAGTTATTGCTGTGGGACTGACCCCCTATACAAATCACTGTGTCTGTCACGTAGTGTTCATATGTAAGGGAAGAGGCACCTATGTCATGATGTTTCATGACATTTGAGAAATCAACTTTGTTCCTTCCTCAGAAACCAGTAATTTGAGTGGTAAGGGGGACCTCTTTTGTGTGTGTGTTTGCATAGATGTCTGTTATGTTTCCTTCCTCTTTGGTGTGTGTGTGGGTGTGTGGGAGTAGGGAGACCTTTTGTTTCCAGTAATAGTCGATAACAGACTTCACTATTAGGTGTGCATCCTCACCTGATTCTTGCTATCTGGTTTGCGGGTAAATGAGTTCTGGTAATCTGCAGCAGTGTTTGCCAACCTTTCTTGTCCTATATACTTGTACAGCGTGCTCACATTAACTCCCTTCATCAGCCCCAACCTCAAGTTCAAAATGTGTCCCTTTGAACTGAATATAAGATGGAAGTTATTCAGCAATATTAATATAACGTTGGGTAGTTTTAAGATACATTTTGTATACAGTGTAATGTTTCAGTCAGTTTGGTAAAGTTTACATTTGACTACTGTGGCTACCACCTATAGTGAACTGTTTAACCACTACTTTAATTTTTTAATTTTAACCATGTATCCATCGCTATTAGATAATGATTTCAACTATTTATAGTTAGTTTTTTTAGCTAACGATACAATTCATCCATTACTTTTAGCTAACCGTTTCAGCTGTCCATCCATAATCTTTAGCTATCTATTTTAACCATTTATCATCTACTTTAAGCTAACAATTTTAATAATTCATCCGTTACTTTCAGCAATTTCAACAGTTTTTTTGCTTTAAGGGTTTACTCTTTATTTTAACCATTTCAAACATCCATCAAATACGTTTTATAATTATATTAACCATTTCTTTACTTGGAACTTTTCCACCATTATAATAAAAGTGTAAACTATGTATTTGAACCATTCATCCATTACATTTGGCCAGCTATTTCAACCATTTATAATTTACATTTAGCTAACTGTTAAGACTTCTCTGCTCACTTAGTTTTTGACATTTTTGCCTTTATTCTTACAGTCAGTGTGAAAACCAGTCAAAAGTCACCCAAAGTTGTATTACGAGTCAGGGATGTACAAGTTGTACTAACACTGCCTGGAAGTGTTGCAAAATCACATGACACAAGTTAACATTATTGACAAGGCTAGAAATACATCTGTTAAAAGTAAAAAAATGTGATTGAAATCCGTTGCACACGAGATAAAGTGCAGTCCAACTGTAATGATTTTGCACAGTCAGGATTCAGGTTACTTCTTCTGCGGGACATAAAAACAAAATAATCTCAGCAGCTTCAGTGATCTTCATAAAGCCATTAAAAATATAATTAAATATTAACATGAAGTGGAAGCATAAAGAGCTGGAAAAGAAGTAGATGTCACCTCTCTTCCTTTCCCTCTCTGTCTCTCTCTCTCTCTCACACAGACACACATACACACACACACACACACACACACACACACAGCTGTAGTTGTTGCTCTGTCACTGAGATTCATTATGTAACACCTTTCCAGTAAACTGTTGTTTCCAGTTAAATGTTTGGACAGCAGATAACAGAGCAAAGAACAAACAAAGGGCTGAGAAATACATCCCCACAGAACGCACAGAGATTCATTTGTAATAATAGACCTTTTTCACAGACGACATTTTGACATGAAACCGCTGGAAAAGGGCAAGTGTAAATAATAAAATAAAGTAAATTGAATTTCAGAGTCCTGTTAACTGTCATTCTATGATTTAAATCATAGAACTGAACCATCATCGTCTGTACTTTTCCTACTATGATCAGTCTAAATGTCTGCTGTGAAAAAGGCCTTGAGCATTGAGCATTAATAACTACTTTTATTATAGATGCAACCTTTTAAATATCTGCTCAGTCTCAAGAGAAGAAAAACGAGATGCAAACAAAGGATGACTAAGCTTATTTTGCTCTCAGGTTTACTGTAAGTGTAGGGCTTTGCGTCTATACTCTCTGGCCATTTGGGCAATGTTTTTTCCACTTGCACAACACTGAAAATGAGAAAATGGGATTATAACTAGGCTTGTTGTGTAACTAGTTGACTGTGGATTTAGTTTACATGGTGGTCAGCTTTCAAAGGAGGGAATGGCACAGTTTACAAACCACTGTATTGAGCAATGAATAGTCACAATTTTCACATATTTTGATGTCTAATTTTCATTGTTATCTCTGTTTTCCTGCGGTTGCCACACACACAGTGTATTTATACCATCACATCTATCAGTGTCTACCACCTGATGTTTCAAGAACAAGCCATGCAGAAATTAAGAGTCATTCAGCTCCAAGAAGCTTCTGAACCATCTCCACCAGAAAGAAAACATGTGACCTGGATGTAGGAATACTGAAGGTGGAGTCTTTATTGTTATTCTTCAGTCAGTGATTGCATCATTACGTGCAGTGTTTGAGGTAGAGTACAGATAAGGAACATTGGTAAAGTGATCTGTCAGTGCTTTGTAATGGAACCTGTCACTACCATAAATGGTCCATGCATCATCGAATTGAAAAAGGGGAAGTCGATGACATGTTAAAGGCGGCAGGGTTGCCATCAGCATCAGTCCAGTGTGGCTTGTGTTTGTTGGCCTTGTCCGTCGCACACATACAACATCAACGCCATGACCCATCTGCTGCTCGGAGCCGTGCTGCTGGGGAACCTGGGTGTCACAGAGCAAGGTAACCTCACATATGTTTATTGTGTATTGTGTCATGTGGATTAGAGTTGTTATTGAGTGATTAATATAAAGGTCACGCTCCTTTAGGTTTGTCCTGGGGTGTAACTTTACATTTATTGGACATCACAAACAGAAGTTACAAATAGATTCTGCATACTCATGATCGTCTGCCTTATCTGGACATCTTGTGTTATTTACTGAAGTCATAGGACCTGATAGAGCAGTAAATTAAGTGAGTGGTGTTAAACTTTGTAAAGTTATAGAACAACAAACAGTAAGTTCTTAAGTTCTGTCCATAAATCATTCTATGACAGTAAAACATAAGCAAATGTCAGTAATTATCAGTCACCATAACAACAGGATATCGATTTCTTTAAGTTAAAAACAAAGTGAAAGATAAGTTGGATTTTATTGATCACACTTGATACAGCAGCTCAAGAAACAACACAACACAATGGATAAGAAAACACACATTAAATAAAAATAAAATAGAAATATATAAGAAGTAATAGAAGTAGAAACTAAGAGTTATATGTACACTATATACACCTTTTATATACATAAATGATTGATGGAACATTGCACAGCTTATTCAATACGCACAGTATGTAGTATTATAATAAAAGATATATGTATAAATATTGAAGGATGGATGAAATTACACAAAGAAATTACACAGGAGGTAGTGGCACAGTAAAACATAAAAATAGTATTGCACATGTGTAATTTAACGGAGATATAGGCTATATAGGACACATATATAGAGAGACAGATAATTGAAAAGTACAGGTATAATCTAATTGCAACAATGTGTATTATAAGAAAATTATATATGTATGTATAATTGTACAGTACAGGTATAGTATAATTATAACAAGGTATAGTATAATTATAACAATCTTAACGATGTGCTTTACAAGATAAAATAAGCTATGAGTGTGTTACAAGCTCTGATATCAATTATATTCAAGGAACTAAACTCAGTGTGAGGTTTGTAAAAGTGTGTATTCAGGAACAATGGCAGACAATAATTAGGCTGCAGTGTGTGAGAGTCTAAAAGTCTTTCTAAGCAGACAAAAGTCCAGATGACTGAATTCCCCTTTAGAGGGAAATCATTTTTATTTTCTTTGCTTTTGTCTTGGAAATATCTCCGATCCAAGAGACATTGCATTTTTAACATAATTTCAGAGCCCATGTAGAAGCTATTTAGATACAAGGGAATCCAAATTAGTTGTGATTAACAATTATTATATGCTGTTATGCTGCTGTATGTAGGTGTATATATAGTTACAGCAGAAATCTATGTATTTACTATATTCATCCATTCAAGTTAGAGTACTGGCTGTGACACACTTTTCTAATTTGTTTTACTCATTTTTTTCTTTCCATTTCCTGTTTCTGTGTCTTGCTGGGCTGTTTGTAAAGCAGTTTTTGCTCTTTACTAAAGAGCCTCTGCTTCTTCTGAATTGAACTGATGCTCTTATCTACTCATAAACCGCTCTACAATCAATAACTCCCACAGTTCCGGTGATGCTCGCTCCGCCCACCCAGGTGAGGTTTGACTCTGTGGACTATATAAACATCCTGCGCTGGACTCCAACCACCAACAGCACGTCCCTGCAGTACTACGTCCAGTGGAAGATGTGAGACACACGCACACACACACACACACACACACACACACACACACACACACACACACACACACACACTGCAGGCATACAGTTGATCTGTAACTTGATCTGTGCATTCACAGTGTTTATTTGTAATATTTATTTATCCAACCCTGCTTATTTGTATGAAACCAGAAAGTGTCAGATTTGAAATAGTAACACTTTTCTTGCATCTGCCACTGATTTCTGGATTTAACATCCCTCCTCTCTGTGTCTACTCCTCAGTTACGGCGAGCCTCAGTGGTTGGACGTTGACGGCTGTCAGGGGATCCAGAAGCACCAGTGTGACCTCAGCGGCGTGACCTCTGACCCCAGAGAGTGGTACTATGCCAGACTGCACGCTTCCTCTCCGCCCTCCAACAAATCAGCCTGGGCCCTCTCACCGAGATTCAGCCCACGCTGGGACAGTGAGTGTTTACATGCTTCCTCCTCCTCCTCTTCATCGTCTGCACTCTCTCTTCTTTGCCTGCTTGCCTCCCCAAACTGATGCAGCGACAAACGGAAGAATACACAACCTGAAACCGACAGTGATAAAAGCTAGTTCTCTATTTAGAACTAGCAGGAACATTTTAAGTATTTGACTCAAGATTTTAGTTTTAAAGATCTATAGCAGCTTAATAAATCAACATCCTTAAAAAAGTAAAATAAACACTTTGTCACTCTTTCATATCTTCAACTTTGTGCATTTTCAAAAAAAAAAACTAAACAAAATCCTCATATCTGCAGCCAAGATCAGCGCTCCTTTACTGAGGCTGAACGCCACAGAGCAAGGGATTGTGGTCCGTGTGAAGCCCCCCAAACTGCTGGTCCGGAAGATGCACAGCAGTCTGCTCTACAAGATCTACCTCACACACACGAGTGGAGAGGAGGTACACACACACACACATAATCCTTCAAATTTCTTTTACAGTTCTTTTTTTGTACTATCAGTCTAAATATTATTCTTTATTGCACATTAACCTCATGAATATGGCGCCCTGCATTTCACTGCACGTGTTCACGCACATACTGTAAGAACATAAAAACACAACAGATACAACCTGCTATAATCTTCTTATCTTTGAATGTTGTATCTTTTAATTAGATGGAAAATAGTGTTCAATTGGTGCAATTCAATTAATTCCAGATAATTGTTAGTGCAACCTGGAGGCTCTTCTGGTTAGATGGATAAAAATATCAAATTTGTTTACAGGCAAGCATACAATTCATGAAGAATATAGTTTCCTGTAATAGATCTTCACGGTGACGTCTTCAAATATCTCAAAAAAGATCCAATTTATGATATCAAACAGAAAAAAGCAACAAATGGTGTTTTTTCTTGATCAATAATCAAATTTTCGGTTGATTGACTGATCAATTAACGACGTCAGCACTAAAAGAATCACCTTCGGCGGCAGCAGTATTTTCCCTGGGACTAACAAAATGGAACGTGTACATTAAAAACAATTTACATTGGAAATGCCACTGCCACTATCACGTAACAAAAGAGGAAGAACAAGAGGAAGAGCAGAAGAACAACAAAAACAAGAACAATAACAACAACAAAAACAGAAGGACAATGCAAAGATATAATAACAATTTAATTTGACCTTTAAGGCTGAAATTTGCTGTCAGGTGACACGGTATCTGGAGGCATCACTGACAATCTGTCTTCTTCTCTTCTCTTCAGGAGGTGCTGGAGCTCGGCTGCTGCTCCAACAAGCTGACTCTGAAAAAGCTGAACAGCAAGGCCAAATACTGCCTCCAAGCCCAGACCATGATCCCCCAGCAGGCGAAGAGTAGCGCTCGTAGCTCTGTGAAATGTATCACTACGCTCTGAACACACAGGTACCAACATACGCAGTCATACGCACACATATCTGCGCTTGGTACAGAAATTCCTCTTTTTCATTGTCTCCAGAAATAGTTTTGCAATGCAGGATAACAACCCGCTCTAGCCGGCTCAGTGCTGGAAGCGTCAATGTGTCCAAACTGAAAGATCCATGCAGTACATCACTTTATACAGACGATACAGAGCCTGCTAAATAAAGAGATATACTGCATGGGTCTAAGTGGGTGGATATTACAGTTTTTGTTAAGTTTAGTAAGACCACTGCAGTGACTGAATGAATCCTGCTGTAGTAAAAAAAAAAAAAGCCACTTTATCCGTGAGAATGTGTTACAAGTGTCTGCCTTGTGTGATTGTGTCTGTGCTGCACACAGACCAGCTGGACAGTATCGCTAGCGAGTGAAAGGTAACCTCTCTGTTGCAACAAAAGACTACCAAATGAAAAGTCAAGTATCAGCTGTCGCACAACAATCGCCCGAGGCAGTGAGACAGAAAGAGGGAGGGAAAATGAAACTCCTGGAGGAGAAATCCTAACAGAAGAGTTTCTCCACAATGACTATAATTACCTCTGCTCACCCCACCCTTTTTCACTATTTTTAGATCTGCGACGGATGTGCAGAGCACTGATAAAGAAGTTCCAGACGTTCATTTTCTTTGTGTGGTTCATTAATCTTTTCTCTCCCTCTTCTCCATTTGCCTTAGACAGACTCTACCTACACGATACACTGAATGACTGGACTCCATCCATCAGTTCAGCCTGAATTATCCATCGCTACCTCGACGGCTGCAGCCCTAGATATCCGTGCCAGTGAAAGTGATGCACTTTATTATTCAAAGCATTAAGGATCGGAATCTTAACTCAAAGTCCACTTAACCAGCTTTCTCTGCCGATGAAGACTGTGAGAAGTAGTTCAAAGCTCTGCAGGAAGCTAGTGAGTGGGCCCTGAGTTCAGATTGTGATCTTTTTTTTCATTTTGTTGCTCATTTTTAAACTTTCACTTTAGACACACTACAAGCACAGTGAAGTAGAGACGTTAATATGAATCTATTCTTTTATTACTGACTTCACTAACCAGAAGTTACACATACTGAAAAACTAATATCTAATATCAACTTGAGCTTTCTCTGAGGCTATTTCAGCTTTTTTTAAATTTTTGTCTTAACATTTCTGTTTGTTTACTGTGAACTGAGAAAATCACTAGAGTTTAATTGAGTGGATTCAGAGGTGATTAACACACTGTGCAGTCCCGTCTGGTGATTTAGGCTAATGGCACTTTAGGTTAGTGTCATTGTTTCCCAAAATTATTCACAACTTCATTTTTTATCAAGTTTAAAGTAACAATCTGTGGAATGGTAATGGCTCAGAGATAATCATAACTACAGTTTATTGGCTATATTGATAGCCACACTAGTTTCTATCGGATCCACCTGTGAAGATCAATGAATGTCATTTTAACTTTTAGCAGAGAACTTTCTTAAACGCGAAAAGGTTTCAGATGCACAACTTTGTGAATGTATCGTGCCAGACGTATTTGTCATATTACAAATAAAAGACTGTTTACAGTGGTTAATTCTGTCTCATGGGTTTACTTTCTTTAGAATCAGAATCAGGGCTTTCTTTGCCTTTAATCGACGGTGACAGCTGAAGAGTGACTGGAAAGGGGGGAGAAAGAGAGGGGACGACAAACAGCAAAAGGGCCACAGGTCGGCGTCAAACCCATGGGTCCTGCAGCAAAGACTCAGCCTTAGTACACGGTGCGCCAGCCGTACCAGATATGTAATATATGAAAAGACAAAAAACAAAAAGACAACTTTAGTCTTGATTTCGACTTTATTCAAAATATTGATAAACTTGATCAATCAGGCATGAAATAACCAATACTGTAATGATAACAAAAACCTTTCACTGAAACAGATGTACGCAAAAAGCTAAATCTGACACATTCGGCGTGGCAGAAACGTTCAGTGATTCAAAGGAGGTGTTGCACTTAACAGGAACTCTTGTTATTTGATTGGAAAGGTGATGGGTCTTTCAGCAACAGCGCCACACCGCGCCTCTGAGGTTTGTTTGTGAAGTTTTTCGTACCGAGTAGTTTTCTTTGCAAGAACTCCTCACTAGCAGCTAGTTCATTTAGTGGTTTTGGTCCTGAAGACAGAGGCCATAGTGCTGGTAGAGTTGAATTTGGTCCCATAGCCAGAAGCCTGAATGCACCATACTGATAACTTGTATCATTATTCTCGCTGCAGTTTGTCAAAATGTAGTGGAATGTTTCTTTAAAACCTTAATACACAAAATCTCTTTCGTTAACCACCAGCCAACAAGGTTTTGTGACTTTGACGACAAACTGCAGACTTTTCGAACTGAAATACAAAATTTTGAGGGGAATGTACAGTACCAGTGCATTGTGGTATTTACAGAATACCCTTAATTCATAAAAAAAAATGGGTAAATCCAGTGATATCTTGTAAACTGCCCCTTCAACAGCCAGATGATTAGTAAGGCCTTTACAGTGTTGGTTTGACAGTCAGTGGTCATGAAATACAAGAACAAGGGATACTTCACATTCTAAGTCATCATATGATGCCACAGTGATACACACATCAGGAATCACAATTATATTTACACCATTTGGGAATTCATATTTTGCTGTAAGTGAGCTCGTCCTTCCAAAGCGGGACACACTCTCTAATGAACTCTTAAAAAACAGGCTGAAGTCAGACAAAGTTGGGGGACTATAAAAATAGAGAATGGATGTTAAGTTAATCTGTAGCGTTTTTACAGAAAGGGCCCGGGAGTGACCATGGAAGCGGGTATAGTATATATCCTGCATAGTCAGACCTCCAGAGAGAGTCCAGAGAGAAAAAAACCTGTTGAACAAATCAGGATAATGAACCCCTTTGTTAATCCTGAGGAAGCCATTCAACTGGCTGTAAGTTTACAGTATGAATGAAAAGTAAACAGCGTCTTCACTCTCTCCGTCTGTCCTCAAATGTCTCCAGAAATTTGGCTACATGGGGAAAACTGTTTGCTTAAAGTTGCAAAAAGTAAAGTGTACAAATAGAAAAAAAAAAAAAAAAAAGACTAAAATAAATGTCAAACCAATTAAACATAACAGTGGGATTAGGTATATCAAACTAATAATGGCTATCAGAGTGAAATCAGTTATCAAGTCCAATTTGTTTGCATAAATTACAAAAACGGACACACATGATAATAAAAATCAGGACATGAATGAGACATAATGAGAAACTTTAGTAGTTGAAGGCACAGGGTATGTCTGCTTTACAGTACAGGTTTTGCCATTTGGTGCACTCAATGTTCTGAACAGTGTCTTAAAATAAAAGTTCTCCTGTGTGGCCACTCCCGGGCAGTGCAGATATGCCTCTGCCATTTAAATCTGACATGATGCCGTGTCATTAAGGTTCCAATCAGCTGTCATCTGGGGGGGGGTATTGGATTATAAATTCATTAATTTGGGGCAGGTTTTCCTGGACATTGACATCGCTGGCTGAATTGTTCCCCCACTCTGCTGCAATGTGCCGAGTACAGAAAATATGAACCAAAAATATTTCTATAAATACTCTTAGAAAAAAAATCCATATTAGCGACATAAGACCGCAACGGTCATTTAAAATCTGAACCAACTTTTAAGATTCCACGTTTTTGCTTTGTAGTGTTTTTTCTACCTGCGTCCCTAAAATCATCAGGGCATTCTGGGAGGAAACATACCTGCATCCCTGCTACGATCCAGCATGTAACCTGTCCCTAGAACACAAACTGTACTGCAGCGTTGCTGACTTTTAAAAACAGCCATAAAACAACATATATGCAATACAAAACAACTGTCAGCATTAGGCTGATAATGGATAAAAAGAAATATTTACAAACAAGGCAAATTTTTTTTTTTGTTCAACATTTTAAGGGTACATGCATGCATGATTCTCAAGTCAAAAAATCTAAAAGCGTGAACGCACAACTTTGAAACTGACATGGAATGTATGTCCTGCTGGTTGCTAAGGTAAGGTCAAGTCTCTTCATATTAAATTACCTATAAAAATATATATATAAATAAAAAGGTGAGGGTATTGTGTTGCGAAAGCTGCAGCAGCGGTCAACGTTTAGCTGCACCGACAGAATGAGAAAGGAAGAGGGGTAACAAAGGGAGAGAAAGATGAGCGAACAAAAGGTGGCAGTTGAGCACCGAGGGCTGAGAGGAAGAGCTGCTGATCCAGCTCTGGAATGTTCTGCTCAGGTTTCAGAACTATGTCTGTGTGTGTGTGTGTGTGTGTGTGTGTGTGTGTTCTAGAATGAGACAAGGCAGTGTGTAAGGCCGTTCTCAAACTGAGATGAGGGTGCACATTCTAGAACTCCTGCGACACAGATGTCTTCTAGAAGTCTCAGACTTGGTTACGTCCTAGAACACTGACATCACTATGTCCTAGAACTAAGACAAAGCTGGGTTCTATGTTATAGAACTTTTTTAAACAGAAACAAGGCAGCCTGGTTCTAAACCCTCCAGGAGTTTTAGGCCAAATATTTTGTCTGTATGTTCTGGAACACTCTACATTGCATCAGATGAACTATGACAACAGCAGATCACTTTTCAAGACAGGAACTCTTTCTCCAGCTCAAAGACGGAGGGCCGCGCCGGGGAACTCTGAATGCGGCAGAGCGGCACAGTGCAGTCTCTCTTCTGGCCCTCTGTGTCCATGTCCAGCAGGGAGCAGCCCACCCCCACATCTGAGGACAGCACCACGTTTAGGTTTTGAGCTGTCTTCTCTCCAGAGTAGTGGCCCAGGGAGTAGCTCTTGTTGCGCCCTCGCAGCAAGGCCCAGGCGTGGGGCTTGGCCCGGAAGGACACAGGCCGCGGTCTGGAGAAGGGCTCCCCTCCGGAGGGCTTCTCTAACGCTCTGTCCTTCTCTTTCTCTTGCTTCTTCTGTGTGGCCGGAGGAGGAAGAGTGGGTGGGCCATTGGCTGGAAACAGAATACATTGTTGAAGTGTAAATATTCTTTCAGAGCGTATATATATACATGCTTACTTCACTTTGCCCCCCCCCATGTGTGTTACTCACTATTGTGATTGCTGGAGTATTTCTTTCTGCGTAGACGTGTTCCTGTGTTGTGGTTGCTCTGCTCTGGTGGCTGGCTTTGGGTTTGCACTGGTGTCTGTGTTTGAGCTGCAGTCCTGTTACTCTGGATGTCCGTAGATGCTGCCGGGCCGGGTCTGTTTGGCTCTGTGTGATGATTGACAGCTACAAGCTCAACCTTCCCAGGGTTGGACTCAGACACCTCCGCCTCAGACTGTAAGAGACACTTTGTGGAATTGCATTCCACAATGGCTGACATGGAGATGAGATTGACAGGTTGGGTGGAGGTGTGGTTCGACGATGCCTCGTCTTTGCGGGGGCGACCGCTCGGCGGGGAGGTGCTACGACGGAACCGGGTCGCACGCTGAAACAGGCCCTCCTTCTTCTTCTTCTCTTTCTCCTCACGCTGGGGCTCGCAGTCTTCCCCAGGGGCAGAGTTTTTGAGAGCCTCCATAATGTCGTAACCGAGCACGACTGAAGCCAGCAACGAGCCGCAGCCGTACAGCACGGAGTCGGTCTTGCGGCGAGCCGACGTCCGCTTCAGGCTGTTGGTGGGGGTGAGCTGTGGGGTGGTGGAGGTGGACGAGGTGGATGTGGTGGTGTAGGGGTCGTCTGGGGTGTCTAGTGGGCCACCCTTACCTCCTGCCCCGACTCCGGCATCCCCTGGTCCACAATGGCCACCGGGGCTCTGAGGCTGTTGCTCGTCCCTCCACAGAGGTAGATCGATGTACACCTGGTTGGGGAACTTGAGCTGCTTTGGCTTGGAGCTGCTGTCAGGACATTCCGGGGAGAATGCCTCGTCTTTACCGGCCCCCGCTGACATAAAAGGAACAAAATAATCAAATATGAGTAACCACATTTATTTTCTGAGTATATAATTCAAAAGATTCCCATGTGGTTATTTTATATAAACCATTAAAAATGAGCTATATCTTCTTATATATCGTTATTGGGATATGAAATTTGAGTGATATCACACACTAGTTAGTCACTGTAGACAAAATGTCAACAAACCACGACCAGTGCTGAGAAAATTTCCACAATAATTACTTGAAATTTAAACAAACACAAAGCTCTTTATTTACATTTCAAAAACATACAGCTTCACAGTGGATTATCAGCTCACCTTGTTCAGCAAACAGGGCAGCGAGGGGGACAGACTTCTGGGACTTGACCAAGCTGGTGGACCAGGGATTACTGCCGTCGGACAGAGGGCGCACTCTGTAAACCACAGACAAGAAAACATAAAATAGACATAAATGTCTGTGGGCTTATATTGCTATTTTTGTGAGGACCAAATGCAGTTTTTGAATCTACTTCAAAGGAATGTTTGAAGGTAAAGACTTGGGTTTTGAAGTTGCGGTTGGAATTAGATTTAGAGATGTATACAGATTTAGTTGTGACAGTGTCCTTTCAATGTCCGGATCAGAGAAGAACAATCCTAAATACTCAAGGCAAATCTAATTTAATAAACTGCCTTTTCACTGTCCAAACTTTCTAATGATTTCAGCAGCCGCTATGAGATTGTCTCGCAATTGTTGAAAAATAATCAGTTTTATCATCTGGCATGCAAACAGAAAACTGTCTATGAAATTATTTTCACTTAATAAAGTGTGTAATATTCTTGTGGCATATTTTTGTTGTTGTCTATTACTGTATAAAGCATATAGATGTGACACAAATACATTAACACTTGAACATGAGGATGTGATTATGCTGTTTAGGAACAGGAACCAAATAGTGGCCAGTTAGATAGCATGAGTGAAAAATGAAAAGCCTGCATTTTCCTGTGTGTGTGTGTGTGTGTGTGTGTGTGTGTGTGTGTTTGTGTGTGTGTGTATACAATTTACCTCTCAGCAGCAGCAGGCCTTTCTTTGCTCTGTACTGAACTGGGGCCCCAGGTTCTTCCTTTCTTCTTGATTCCCTTTTTCACATCATCAAACTCCTCTGGCCTGAAGGGGGTGCTGCGGCCCCATGTACGGTTGCTCTCATCTTGAGTAACTGTTAACACAGTGACCACAAGTGTTACCACAGACCCAAACAACTGACTGGCAATTTGGTGTAGAAATGTTATTAATCTCTTTCTCAAGAATGGCACACTACTATTGTTTATGTTGTCTCTCTCTAGCTATGTAGAGTAATTAACTACATAACTAATTTTACCAGTTGAGGCATTTTAAGGCCCCTCCACACTGGATGGATATAAGCCTTTAATTACATTAATAACTGAGTTTGATTCAGGGTAACTATTTAACCCTATCATACTATAAAATAATATAGCATACATTCATTTCTACAAATTTTAAATCAAAAAGTCAAAAAGCAGAAACCAAAACCCAAAAGGTTGTTGTTATATAAGATTCTTATAGGTGTGTGTTAGTCATTGTGAAGTCGTTATGAAGGTGGGAGCGAACACAGGATCCACCAAAGATGTTGGGGCAACAGCACTACCAGTAGTGCCAATTATTTAATTCAAGCCACATCATATCAGATGGTTCAAAAACTAATATGAACAGCAGACTGGCCCAAGTCTGTGGCACAAACCTCAACCTCACTTGCTTGTTTGATTTTCAGGTTAGGCAGAGTACCTGTGAAACAATTTCAACCAGCAGCAAACATCAAATTCTTGTTAAAATCCACACATCAGGAAACTCGAGCCAATCAGCAAACAGAACCCTGCTGACGGGAAGCTGTTAGGCATCAAACCCTCTCAACTGTCAAAGTTAGCCAAACATCACATGCAGCGCGGTGCCCTTAGCCACACCCACGCTGCGTGTGGGTCGCTAATAGCTTGCCTTTCTTTCTGACCCCACAGTAGGCTGTGAGCTCGCTGGTCAGATCAACATCCTGTTGGTAAACATGCAAACTGTCCCTCTGCATATGGGACGTCACTGGGGAGGGAAACATACATGTTACCTCTAACCAACATGAGCGTATTGTATTGTTGCTGACATGCTTCTTCTTCTGCAATAGCAATGATTAAAAAAATGCCTTGTTGAGCATTGCATGTATAGATTAATATATCTGAAAGCATGTGCAGATATATATTGATATATCAGTGATTATGGACTTTATAAATATAATTGACATGAAATGTGTATTGAAAAGCATATGTGGGAATACATGGGACATAAATGAATATATGTGTGTGCAGATGCGTCCAAGTCCACATATAAACTGTATACACAGGATGTATCTGTATGTATGTTTTTACTCAGGACAATAAAACTGTCACTAAGATAATGTTATGACAATTGTTTTCCATAAGTAGTGCAGACATTTGCTCTTCTGTGCATGGAATCACTCCATATTGAAACTAATCAAGTGTACAGTATATTTCATGTATTGTGAAAACAAATCTCCCTCTTGGACAACAAAGACCATCTATCTAATCTTGTAACTCAAAGAATACACAACAGAATAGTGATCCATCTCAATCTATTTATACATTAGGGTTATTTATACCAATAACAGTGATTCTGAGCCACAATCTGCGCCCTCTTGTCTGAATATCAGCATCTGCCATAAATGCCCGAGAGGAATTTGTTCCCGTTATTGCACGGGCGTTGGTGCGTGACTAACAACATTATCAAACTGTTCAAACAACTGGCTGACTGCTTGTGGCTCTGAAGCTTTTGTTGACACGGCTCTTGTCATTGTGAATGACACTGTTATGAATGACACCGTCCCCGTGTTCCCAGTTCCCAAATTCTCAGAGAGATGATGTGATTTATTTATTTAATAAACTGATTGTACTTAATTCAGGCCAAGAAATACAGTACACAGCCATGCGAGTACTGATACAGAGGTGGAGGAGACAATCAGACCCCACACTAAGGGAAACTTGAAAATTGAAAACAATGAACTTACGCTGAATGGCTCGTAGTCGAGGGATGAGTGTGGGACTGCTGGGAGGAGAGGAGCTGGTGCTATGAAGGCTTCGTCTCTTGTCCATGGAAGGCGACGCCTGCACCGTGATTTTATGCTGGAAGTCTACAAAAAGGCAACATATGGACAGGTGTAACAGGGGTAATGTGTGTATCTTTCATAAAATGTCCCACACAATGCAAATGTTGCAACACTGGCACAAACAACAGACAAGGGAACACCAGTACTTTACACCTTTGTACATACTATAATGATTGAGAGTGTAAATGTTGTATGAAATAACTCGACAAATCTTGATGTACAGGTGATCAAATATTGGAACGGTTGTTTAAATTGAATGTGTTAAAATCTTAAAACTTTGTGTCAAAAACCTGGAAAACAAGGCAGGGGGGATTGTTCAAATCCACTATGCTTTGACACATTAACGAAAACTTAATTAATTTATTCATTTTTACAGCTAGACACTTTCACATTATGAAAAAACATGATTTTGTCCATTGTCACCATTTCTTCACACTAGTTCAACTGAGCCACTCAGAATTGCTTTAATAATACTCTTTTACAACTGTATTTAAGTATTTACTTAGAAATCCCCCCCATTCAGGGTCTAAATCAGCTTAATATATATTGAGAATATATATATATACTGTACAGAGACACAGCCAATTATACTGCCGACTAATTAGAACAGCATGAAAATGCTATTTGCTACTTCATTATGGTTTTGTAACTTTATTCCAATTCGATTTCAATTCAGTTTTTGTGTTTGCTCCTTTCGGTTTAGTTTATAGGTGTTTCAGTATTATGTTACTACACACACACACACACACACACACACACACACACACACACACACACACACACACACACACACACACACACACACACACACACACACACACACAACAACAACAACAACAACAACAACAACAACAACAACAACAACATCCACACAGTCTCACCTGAGGGCAAGCTGATGCGGTTTCCATCCTTCAGTTTAAGGCGGGAGCGTTTGAATTTGCCTTTCCTCTTCTTCACATTGGGTTTGTCTTTGTTGAGCTGGAAAATGAGGATGTTAAGCTCTCTCTCCAGCACGTTAATCTCCCGCTCTGCCAGCTGCTGCTCCCGACGCTTCAGCAGCTCCTCCTGAGACTTCTGCTGGAGGGCGGCCCGCGTGAGCTCCTCTTCTCTGGATCGTAGCTCCTGTAACAACCAGGTATTAAGATAAATATATGAATAAACTGGCATGCAGGCTTCTGTTAACATTATGTCCTGGGCCAGAGAGAGGACTGATTCTATTTTACTAGAGGATGATGTACATCAGTTTGTGTCATCTGAACATATCAGCCAAGCAGAGAAAGAGAATAATTTGACAGTCCATATTCTCCTCCAGTGAGGCCTGTTTCACGTTACAGCTGACAGATAGGTGGTGTCATTAAAACACAGGAAAGTGCACTGACACCCTTAAGAAAGCTTTTGTTCTTAAGAGGTACTCCACCCTAAAACGTGTTTGTTGAGCTGTAAACTGTGTAAACTAAGCTGACATTATTACCAAATTAATGAAAATCTGCATTTTGTGGGTTAAAAATGGCTCAACACGCCCTCTACTGTTTTAAATCACGGTGTACATTTTAAGACAAATGCTGAGATAGAGTTGACTGCTTGGCGTGACTCAACAGTTAACGCCCTCTGATCAGAGGACACAGGAGTGGGAGTCTGTAAAACAGCTGCGCTCATTTTCAAATTAATACTGATCGAGATGAGTCAATCACAAAAGTTTATACTACTTTTTGCTAAACCTTTACTTAGTATTAGTATACTTAGTATGTTTCTATTTTGGTGCAGTGGTTGGGACTTTGCTTTTGACGCTGTAAAAGCACCGGACTGTAATATTTACTGTGATCCCACGCACTGACACACACACACACACACACACACTACACAGGTACCACACATTAAGCTTTAAGTGACTGTTAAATCTCCAGCGGGCTCTCTGTGCTTCCAGCATGGACACTGAGGGTCTGACAGCAGCTGCTCAACAGCTCGCTGTTTCTGCAACGCTACTGGGGTCAGTCTGTCAATCACTCCGGTTGCTGTCGAGGCCACGCCCCCTAAAGTCACTATCCTTTGCAGGATACATTTTTGCCGAGAGGGAAGGAACTGAAGAAGAACTGAAGGGCGCAGTTACACTTTAAAGGTGAATCCCACTGATTTGCAAAAAGAGTATGTCCCAAGGAAAAGGGACGGCTTCAGACAAAACAGAAAGGTGATCCTTTTTCCTTTTCTTTTTTTTTTACCAATCAGAAGTTACGAAAGGTTGAGAACCCCTGTATTAGATAACTCTGTCCATAACAAGTTGGTTTCAGGAGATTACTGCCTGCTGTTTCAGGCTGTGTTACACAGAGTAAGCCATGGGAGAAGACACAACTGTTTAGCTTTCTTCATTCCCCCTATTTTCTCTTTAATTGCCCTCAGCTGAGTAATAATAATCCTTACTGAATGACTTTCATAAAGCTGCTTTACAGTCAAACCCCTTCAGCCACCCACCTAGACACAGATTACTGTTGGATGTTTACAGGAAATCTGCTGATGTAGCAGCTAATTCTACAAGTAATCTTATGAAATGTGCGATGGGAAAATGTTAGTTACTGCCCAAAGCTCTCTTGATTTCTGAAATCGAGCCAACTTTATAGGGTTTTGTCGTAGTGAGGTTTATATCAGTTGATTATATCAGCTGAGCGATTCATTTAGATGATTGTAAGTTACATAACAGAAGAGTACATGTTAAAATGATGTTTTAGCATAAATGATAAACTAGAAGCAGGTAGAATACGTGTGTGTGTATATGGTATACATATACACACATACATATATATGCACACATGTATATACATATACAGTATACACACACACACACACACACACACACATATATATATATATATACACAATACAAAGAAAATACAATTATTCAGTACATGGCACATATTAAGTCTCATAAAACACCTGTTTTCAGTATCTGTGCCTTTCAGTTCACCATCCGTTGACCAAGCTCTGTATTCTGATCCTGCTGTTTCTACAAACACTAATTAACCCTCTTCTTTAAGCCAGCAACGGGAGACTTATACAGGAAGCAGATTAAGGTCTTAACAAGGGGAAGTACGCTAAAGCACCTCGGCATTAATGACTTTGTTTTGTTAAACGTGCGATTAGCTTGTCCGTTGAAAGTAACCAATTAAACGTTTTAGTCCGTAAAAGCTGTCCCAACCGATTCTGTGTCTAAGCTTAATAACAGATTAGTCAACATGTATAGAAAAAAAATTTTACAAATTAAAGGATAGGAGGAATGTCAGGTTTCCAACTTCCCACACTGTGTGAGACAAGAGGAGGAAAACATATATTTTATGCACCTAACCAACCCCCGGCCCTCATAATGTGTATAGTGCCATGTGTTGCTCCATATTTGGATGAGTTTTTGTGCGTATCTGCGAGGATCATCACTCTGCCCTACCTTCTCTTTGGTCCTGAGCTCATCAAACATTTCCTGGATTTCTACACGCCAGTCGTCCTGCATGCTGTGGAAAGAGTCCTGGGGCATGGTGGCCATCACCGCCTCCTCGATGGCCGACAGCTGCTCCAGGATGCAGGAGAAGGAGGGACGCACGTGGGGGTCCTGGTCCCAGCACTCTGAACAAAACACATTGCGATGTATAGATTGACACAAGTTAGTCACCAGTGTAAATATGTATTGCTTTGTCATCCACTGCAGACCAGACCTGCAACCAGTGCTTGCCCTAAAACAAACTAATTTGCAATTTATGTAATCACTGCAGTGCTATTATGGCAACATTAAAATGTGTAAAAGGACAATATTATCCAAACATAATCTGTATGAACAATAAATAATTCATCTGATACTGGAAAAAGGCTTCCAGTAATCCCAAACAACATAAGTGATAAAAAAAGAGCCCAATGTGTATCTCCACAAAATCTGTATTTTGTGGAAAGTCTGCATTACACCCACTAGCACACACATATTGTCTAATGAAGAACAACTACTGAGTAGAAATCTTCAGGCACATTGCCATTAGCTACAGAAACAGGCTTAATGGTTTCCCTGAGGAGAAAAGGCTTAATTTTGTGTGTTATTGTTAAGTATATGGTTATTTGAGGACTGATGGGTTGTTCTAGACGGATGATTATAAGAAACCCAAGATGTTTTTAAGGAAGATAACCTTTTTGAGGCAGGTATTTTTGTCCAGTTTGCAATGTAATGTCAGGTAAGGCTTGTCTGGTAAAGGCCACAACATATACCACAAAAATAACACAAAATGTCTATTGATTGACATATGCAAAAACAACATAACATAAAAGAACTACCACAAACAAACATATAAAATATTGTCAGATCATTTGCAGTTTTTACACACAGTTTCTGGTTTTGCACTGTATTTCTATCTACAGCTTCATGTACTGTTGCTTCCTTGGAATAAGATTTCTTGAGAATTATGGGACTAACAGGTTCATGTGATATTAGTTTTGAACAAATAAAAACTCTTAAACATACCAGGATTTAATCATTGTGTAAAGATTCTGCCTTGTGTTAATTTACCTTCCATGAGCTTGGCGAAGGGTTCGGGGCATGTGGAGGGGATTGGTAGAGTTAACTTATTAACAGCCACGCCGTAAGCAACAGCCAGGCCGTCTATCCCGCGGTACGGTACCTCCCCCGTTAACAGCTCCCACAGCAAGACACCATACCTGATGGATGAAATAAAAAGAGAGAAAAGAAAAGCAATAATGTCAGTGAAATTGAGTGAGAGTAGATATTATATTCTTCTTCTGGGTCTGTGTGTGGTGTATGATTTGTCATACCCCCAGACATCACTGCCTTTGGAGAAGAGAGATGACTTGATGACCTCAGGGGCCATCCAGGAGTAGGTGCCTGCAGCTGACATTTTTGTGGTTTTGTGCCACTCCCTGGCCAGGCCGAAATCTGTGATCTTCAAGGTCTTCCTCCCGATGTCGTCATTCTCAATCTTTTCAAGTAATAAAACTGAAAAGAGGATACGAAGAAAGGGATACGTTAGAAGGCAGAAAAGGAGGATAAATAAAGATACGCGAGGGAAAAGGGCATAAGAAGCAATGAGTGATTGAGAGAAAAGGACAAGTGGACAGACAGGATCGGGATGAAAGTGACAGATGTGAGGGGGGATAGAAGAGAAGGGAGTGAAAGGGAAAGGGAGATACAAAGAGTGGGGGACAGAGAAAAAGACAACCGTGCAGGTGAGGAGATGATAGTCGATATTCAACGGGTCCAACAGAGGTATGCAGGTCATTTATTACTGTAGAAACAGAAGGTTGACAGCGTCACAAAGCACCTGTCCTCGGGTCCTAAAACTGTTTAACACATTAAAGACAGCCGGAACCCTCCAAACCTGCCTGTAACTCTACACCTGGCCTGAGAGCCCTGCCACAGTGAACCGCAACCCACTGACGTGTGAAGTCAAGTCAAGACCCTCTACACCAATCATGTGCTGAAGAAAAGAAGATGACTCACATGCAAATACATTTTTCTAACCGGTTCTGTGTGAGGAAAAAACTGTGAACACAAAAATCTGTTTGGGAATGAGAAAGAGGATTTTAAGCACTTGAATCAAACTTCTTTGAGCGCTGTAACAGGATCACTTTTGCTTTTCAGGTCAAAGTGGACCTGATGTTGAACTACATCATAATAAATACTAGTACAGTACAGTACAGTACAGTATAAAATCCAACACAGCCCTGATAGAAACAATGTACAACTTAAAATGTTACATTTTGTTATTATTTTGTTTAATGTTAGTGTTACTGTTATTGTGTCTAATCCCTATATGTTCCTATATAAAGGGGTGTATATAAATCTAGTTCCAATTCCAGTTTCAACTCAGCTAATTACATGTTACTTTAATTCAATATATTTCATGATAAAAATGTTTCTACTCCCTGAATTCAAAGCAAGAAAAATAAAGAAAACCCACGTCTTTCAATATAAAAGACTTATTCTAAGGTAAAAACACAATCATTCTTATTTTCAGGTAATTATAGATGAATGAAAACATATTATTATATTCCATTTCTGCCAATAGATCCTCCTAATGTTACACACTGGACTTTGGACGGGACAATTCAACTCCATTTCAATGTTCTGTTGATCCACTAATTGATTGTTTCAGCTGTTGTAAAATGTACATGAAAAATACAGAAATGTAACCGAAGGAAATTTAAGTAAAATGCCCAAAAAAAGCATAAAAACAGTCAAATAAAAGACGTAAACCCACAGTGACCACATTGCAATAGAGCAACCAGGCGACGACTGGGGAGGGGTAACATCTTTCTACTGTCAAATCTTTCCTTTCTACAGAAATAAACCTTCTTCCTGTGTGCTGATACACCATCTGCCAAATATTCAAGAAGCAGCCTTTTCCACGAAGTGGTGTATCAACAGCCAAAACAGACTCTTTGATCCTTTGATCCTCTTGGTATTATTTTCAACATTTGTTTTTGTCTCTGCCAAGATCTCCTCACATTACAAACTGTCCCATTTCATTATTTACATGCGGTCCTGACACTGCAGGTCAGTGTGAACATGTCCTATCAGCTGTGTTGAAACTACAACACAGGAGTCTGAATGTCCCTTCAGGTGGTTTGACAGAGGTGTAAGAGTTTAACAGCGAGTATTAAAACAAACACGTGACCTGAGAGCATTGCTGGCACAAACGCTGTGGTAATATTCCCATGGGAAAAAAATGATGGAATGATAAAGATACATAGTGCTGAAAAACACATCAAGGTCTTTGAGTTTCTTCACTACTGTATTACAATGTACCACTCAGGTGTTGCTCAGTTTAAAGGCTACAGTTTTCAGCCGAGGCTCTTTCATGTATTTGTGCAATGAAGAATGAAGCAGCTGCACGTTGTGTGCTGTATTATCACTTACGACCTTGGACTTACTCCTCCACAGCAGTGCAAAACTAAAACCTTCCAGAACACACGTATACACACACACACACACAAACGCACACACACACACTTCTTCAATTCTCATTCAGACGCAAACATGCACCTATATTACACTTATGTACGTCTAATGACCATCTGAGACCCAGTTGGTATAGCTTACACACAGTAAGCATACTGATCTTCAATCCATTATCCAACATTGCGACCAGTTACACAACAAATGTGTCAAGACAGGACCAGATCTACTGAAAGATGTAGGAGGGGTGGAAAGGAGGATAGCTGTGGACTTCAAGAAAAGATAGCGTGGTCAGATATTAGCTCTGAGACCTTGGGGCAGATGCATAAAACTCAACCGACTCCACACTCAAAATCTGTGCATGCAGAAAACTGAAAGTGACATATATTGATGTACACTGAATTATATTGTTCAAGGTTTATTTAACCGTTCCATTATAATACAATAGTATAAAATTAAGAAGCAACGTGAGCTGAAAGGATAAGTTGATTAATCAATCTACCAACAGAAATTAATCATATTATATTGATTACTGATGAAAATGGATTTTTCAAGCAAATACACATCTACAGGTTCCATCTTCTGAAGTGTGAGGATTTACTGTTTGTCTTTGCTTTTTGTGATAAGGAACTAAATAGCTTTAAGATCTTTGGTCAGACAAAAAAAGCAATTTAATGATGTCAACTTGGGGTTATGGACATGGCATGTTTTTCCCAGTTCTTTAGAAGAAATAACCAATAATCAATAATTAGAGTTAGAGTTACTTGCCACTGAAGATGCAACACAACCCAAGCAGCACTATTCCACACAGCCAATATCGTAATGTTGCCTCACTATACTATGTTCTGATCGGTCTCTCATCATTCACATTTGTCAGGTCACTGTACCTACGACAGGATTCATTTTGAATTCAATGTGCATTTTTAAAAATGTCCAAAGCACTGTTACATCTCACAGATAAACTTAATTCAAAACAACATTCTATGCACAAATCTACAGCATGCTGTTTGACATTTTGTAATATGCTGTGCTGTGTAATTCCAGGGTACGAAATGAACTTTCTTGGCTCATCTTCCAATGCTAGGTAAACTTTGGACATTTACCAGCAAAAGATATTTGTTGCCGGCCATGAAACTACATCATCGACTAAAATGAATTACCTCAAGTTTTGAGCCCTACTGAACCTTTTGAGATTTATATTTTAGGCAGCATCTCAGGGACAAAAAAAACAACCTCTGTGACTTTTTTCTTCATCTTTCTCTTCGTCTACACGTTTTCCTTTTGATGGGTTAACAAAATGCAATAATAATAAAAAATAATGTGAAACATCGGCAGACATTGTGTAGAAGGCACCAAATAGTAGTAAGTTGCTTTGATTGATTGATTGATTGATTTGATTTTTCCTCTAAAAACAAAATGTTGCTGCACTTGGTGGTAATTATTTTTGACCCTGTGTCTTTCTTCATCATATTTCTAATATTCTGCTATTCTCACTCCCAATTCTTCAAGTCTGCATTCTTTTATGGATTATACATTTCTACACCACTTTGACTAAAACCACCAAGGACATTCAGCTCGTCGACTGCAACCATTTTACTTAATTTACCATCTCAATAAACACAAGAAACAGTTCTTTCCTTTAGACACACTAGACACAGTTATAGAGTGCGATGGTTAAGATTGTTCTGAGCATGCACAAGAATTTTCAATGGGCCTGACATGATTTCAAGCAGCATTTTAACTGCAGTGTGACTCCTATGGGTCTCCATTAATAACAGGGGTAATGGTGCCATTACCAGCCTCGGGCACAGAGGGGATCCTCTACCCAGGCTGCAACAATAGGAATTCCATTACAAACAGGTTTCACTAGACCAATGATATACTCCTACTTCCTGTTGTCAAGTCCTCTCTCAGTGATTCCATAGATTCCTCCCAGCAGGCTCTGTAGGTTTGTAATGACTTACGATGGGTTAGTTACACAACCTAGCAGAACAGTGGTTTTGGGATAAACCCATCTGCGTTGATTGGCCTATAGAATATCATGCCAAATACTTTCTTTGTAGCTCCATGATACTTCAGTGTCAGCCCTCTAGAAATTTCTGATAAAAGACCTTGCTCCCGTCTACATGACTCCATACTGATGTTATGCTACGAGAAACACCTTTGAACCTCAACCAGTCATTTTGTTTGAGTCTATTAGCAGCCAAGCTAATAACACAAAAACACTACGTAGCCACTGCCGGTTAACCTGTGCTTCAATTGATATGGTGCTACACATCACCACTCATTATATACATCTATCCATTCATAAAAATGTATATAGATTTTAGATTCAGATTTTAAAGAAATGCATATCAAATGAAATAAAGCCTCCCTAAATAAAACAGACCATTTAATAATAGTATAGGCAATTGGAGCTGCAGCTAAAAATGACTTACATGTTCCATTAATCTGCCAAATTCTTTATCAATAATCTTTTGGTCTAGGAAATGTCTGAAAATAGAAGATGCCCTGAAGCCCAAAGCTTTGTTTGCTATTATTATAGTTAAGTGACTCTCACAATCTGTATCTCATCACATTTTCTGAAGTTGAATAATACTGAGATGATACTTTATATAATAACAGGTGTTAAAGGAGACAATCATCATCGTCTCCTCTTCACTAACTAATGGCTCACCTCCAGCAACACATGCCACCAGCCCTTCTTTGAAGTCTACCTCCCATGACCTCTTCACCCTATTCTAATTTCTAAGCCTGACCTAAAGGGAAAAGCTGCACATTAAAACAGAACATTTAGTTTAATTGGAATTAAAATATTCTTTAAGCCATCTCACTGGTTTCAGACATAGTTTACATTTTACATCCAACCAGGTCATTATGCAAAAACACTCAAACTATTTTTATGTGCCAAAAGAAAAAAGTAATTTGACAATACTTGGAATCATCGCTGCAAAACTGCATTTAAAACCTAATTATTAATTGTGCATTTCATTATTTAAATCCCCTCTAAATAAGCCATGTTGGTAGATTTTAAGAAC